ATATAAATATATTTAATGGTCTGTAATTAATTAAAAACTTCAATACAATTTTACTTTATATTGTAATTCAATTAATAACAATCAAGTAAATACGAAAGTTATTTACAAAAATAAAATAATGTAACGCAATTTCACGTACAATTTCTTTATAAAAACTCTTATTGACTTAAAAATACAGTGCAGGATCTTCAGCACATTTTCTTCTGCATTATTTTAGAAGAATTTTTTTATCGTTGCTGATTTTCATAATCTCTTGCATAACATAAAATTTTTATTTTTTCCTTTCGTAAATATCGTTTTAACCAAGAATATGTAAAAAACATGATGACATACCCTTTTAAAATGAAAATATAGATAACAAATAACAAAAAAAAAAAAAAAAAAATTGAAAAAATTTTTTCATTTAAATCCCCCTCAAACACTCTGAACACACCCTATTTTTCCTTTTTTGAAGTTCAATTTCTTAGCAACTTTAGTCTTGAGGGGGACTTAAAAGTCACCCGATTGACCTAAAAAAAATTTTGACAAAGTTTTAGCATATTTGCTCCAACTTTAGCTGGGTATGTACTTCGTTTTCAAAAATTCTCTCAAAATGACTACCCCTAATATATATATATATATATATATATATATATATATATATATATATATATATATATATATATATATATATATAATTATGTGTATATGTATGCGTTTGTATATATATATATATATATGTGTATGTGTATGTGTGTTTATGTGTATATATATGTGTGTATGTGTATATGTGTGTATATGTATATATGTGTGTATGTAGGTTAGGGTGATAACAATTTTCTTTTTTTTTTGTAATGAAACTGAAACCTGTCACATTCGAGGAACATTTATATGCAGATAACCACCAGACAGCAACCTTAATTTTTTTTAAAATTGAAAAATTTAAAAAAAATTTTTCAATTTTTCAAAAAAATTAAGGTTTCCCCACCTTTCAATTTTTATTTTTTCTTATATCGCTCAATGAGGTATTTTCACGAATAAACAATACCATGATAATGATCAACGATCACGTGATGGATAAGAGATGCTTTTCGATTACTTTGAGCCTATTTGTTTACATAACTATAACCTCTGATCTGTATATATTATATCTATGCTCTCAAAAAAAAAACAAAAGACAAAGCCATTATTCCGTTATTAATCGATCAATTATATTTAACCATCACGTGACGTTTTAAAAAGTTTTCCGGCTCATTAAAATACCTCATTTGTTTAACAATTTAAATTTCACACTGACTTTTTATGTAATGTTTTAGGCTGCTTTTAAGCACATTTCTGTCAACTGTCTGTTTCTATTTGTTTATAAGAAAAAAACATTTACAGATGGTAGTTAACTTTTTTATTTTTATTGATCCCAGCTTAAACAGTGGAAACTCGCTCCAACATGGGGCAAGTTTAGTAAAAATAATTATTTTATTATTGATATATTTTATTTTCTGTTTCAGTTGGAAACATAAAATATATATATTCTGGAGTATTTTATAACAATTTAAAATATTGTAGATTAATTACCTCGTTTTCAGTGCAAGATTGCAAGTCATCCAGAAAAGACATTTTGTCACTTCAATAAAATGTCTTACAGATATTCCAGAAATAGTATAGATTCTAACAGGTGTATCTGAATAAAAAATATACCCTAGATAAAAAAGTGAGATAAAACCAATCTCACGCGGATGCCGACAAACCGTCCAATTCTCGGAAACTTCACTTTTTTGTTCAATAGCGAGAAACGGCGGCTGGATAAAATCAAGATTATGATTACAGATATAAAAAAGCTTTGGGAAGAAATTCTAGACTTTCCACTGTTATCCAGCGCACTCATAAGAAAGAAGCTCAACAGTCTGATTGATTTATTTAACAAAAACAAAAAGAAACCATCTGATAAATTCACTGCAACATTTTCTCAGTTATTTGATGTCACCAACGGTAATGGAGAATGGAAAAACACGGAAGATAAAAAGCTCTACCAGAAGCAAGTTGAGAGTGGAGGAAAAATTGGTTATTCAATGGTCAAACAAGCTCCTCTGGAATCAATCCACCCAAGAAAACGAATCCGACTATCAAAAACTCAATCCCAAGCCAGCTCTTCTCAATTGCATCCCACACAAACACATAAAACTGTCTCAGATTCTTGATGAATACAATGCTTGGGAAAATATTTGCATGATAATCTGTGACACGACTGCAGTAAATACTGGTTGTCTGCATGGGATTGTAAAGCTAATACAAGATGATGTTTTGAGCAAGGGCTTTCAGAAACCACAATATATTGGCTGTCAGCACCATGTTCTCGACCTCCTTCTGAAACATGTCATGAATTTTTTTATTCAAGAGCCCAAGAGCAAACCCGAACTCAATTATTCCTTCATTGATAAATTAACAAAGAATTATGTTTCTCTTTAGGATGATTACCACCTATATGCGACAGATGATGTTTACACAGGCAAAAACCCTGCATGGCGAGATGATTTCAAGTTCTTATATGAACTATGTCAAGCGTATCGTCAATACAAAACAACTTCACACTAGCCTCGAATAAACTGGAAGAAACTCCCAAATGTGCACCAAGCAAGATGGAACTCACGTGCAATATATGCTGTTATGGCATTATTCCTGATGCCAGAGTGGCGCACCACCCTCGTTCCAGCATGTGACTTCATCTGCTACGAATGGGCAAATGCTTGGTTCCATTCGCAACACTACAATAAAGCATCCTTCAATGAACTATTAACCTCACTCATCAAGATAAAATGCAAGAAAGCAATTAAGTGTTTAAAGACACATTGGTCAATCGAGGAGTCATTCATTGATATTCCCAGATCTAACCAAATTGCTGAACGTGTGGTAAAACTGATGGAGGAACTTCATGAAGAATCATAAAAAATTTGAGTTTTTGAATTTGAAGTTCCTTGGAAAAAATAACTTTTAAACATTTCATGTATATTTTGTACATATTACTAATGTTCTCCATCTTATTTGAACATAAAAGTTGCTTAGATAAGCTATTACTTTTATTATTTTGGATGAAACTAAAAAACATGTCCTTTTTTGAAAAAAAACATTTTTTCATTTTTCTTTTCCTGTGTGAGTAGGGGAACTTTTTTAAAAAACATTAAAAATGCAATTTATATTCTTGAATTACACATATTTCCTCGATTGCAAGTGGTTTCATAAAATTTTTTTTTTTTGTTATAACCCTAATGTAGGTATGTATGCGTGTGTATATGTATGTATATTTGTATATATGTATATGTGGGTGTGGTTATATATGTATGTGTATATATATGTGTGTGTGTATATGTATGTGTGTATGTATATATATATGTGTGTATGTGTATGTATATGTATATGTATGTATGTATGTAGGTATGTTTAAAGTATGTATGTATGTATGTGTGTATGTATGAATGTATGTATGTATGTATATATGTATGTGTACACGTATGTGTATGTGTTCACAACTATGTGTGTGTATGTGTATATTTTGTATATGTGTGTGTATTAATGTATGGGTATGTGTATATGTATGCATGTTTATGTGTATGTATATATATGTATGTGTATTTGTATATATATACATGTATATAGGTATGTGTGTATGTGTATATGTATATATGTATATGTGTGTGTATGTATATATGTATATGTGTATATATGTATATGTATATGTGTGTACAGATTTATGTATATGTGTGTATGCATGTATGTATATATGTATGTATGTGTGTATGTATGTGTATGGGTATTGTATATGTGTATGTATGTCTGTATGTATATGTGCATGTGTATGTATGCACCTATATGTATGTGTGGATGTATTTGTATATATGCATGTGTTTGTATATGTATTTATGTATATATGGGTATACATGTGTATGTATACGTATGTATATATATGCAAGTATGTGTGCTTATGTGTATATGTATATAGGTATATATACATGAATATATCTCGCATTTTTTATATTTAGAATATTATTGTTATTACTTTTATTATGTTATATGTTTGATAAGTACTTGTGTTATTCCTTATTTTTATTGTTATTTTATTTATACTATTATTATATACATATACATACTTTTAAATAATTACTGCTTTCATTCCCATATTATTATTTATATCAAGTAATTGGTATTTACTTTTTATTATTATACTTTCAATTATAACTTATATTATTTTTATATTATTATTGTTGTTATCGTTATTATAAATAATAATTATTATTATTTTTGTTAATTTTATTATTTAATTGTCATTATTGTTAATATTATTGCTGTTATTATCATGAGTTTCGTTATATTATTTTTGCAATAACTATTATTCCTTTTCATATATTTATCACTTTTTTTCTTAATTTTTATTCTTATTGTTATCACTATTTATTTAAATTAAATTTTATAGGTGTTTACTTCAGATTAGTATCATTACTATTTGTAAATATCCTTAATGTAAGACATTTTACAAATTACATTTACTGTGGTTTATTTTAAACAGATTTTAATAAAACTTTTATAAAGTTATTGAAATCTTTATTTTTTACTATTTTAAAAAATATTGGAAAGAAAAAAAAACTTTCAGAAAAAGTTTATGCTTTGTTTTTTCGTTTTCCTCACGTAAATTAAAGTAGCAAGCTAAAGATCAAATGTTTAATCATTCAAATATTAAACTTGCGCGATAGTTATGCTACTTAGAAACCGAAGGCAAATTACGTTACGTAGTTATGTAAATAGTTTTTACATTTTCTTTTTAATTCATTTTGTTGTGTTGAAGAAAAAATGAATTAGCTAAAATAAATTGAAAATTATTTATATAATACTGCATTAAAAACTGGAATTTTTTTGAATGAAATTCCATAATAGGTTTCTTATTATGAATACAACCTTTTTTTTGGTTGTTTTTATGAACACAACTTTAAAAACATCAGGTTTTCTATTTAATTTGATATTTTTTATTTTCTCAGGTATTGATCAAGGGTCCAGTTCAATGTAGAAACAATCTTATACTGTTGAAGCAAGAAAATATTCAATTATTGGGTGGAAATGTAGAAAGCTTATTGGAGAGCAATACCATTGAAAATTTGCTCTGTAAAGTACTGTATGTTCTGTAAAGTAGTGTATGTTCTTTAAAGTATTGGATGTTCTGTAGTGTACTGTATGTTCTGTAAACCTGGGCTCAGTTTAACAGTAGGACATCGGACATTGTTGGTTGCCCCCATAAATCAGATTTAATCCCCCATCAACAACAATTTGTTGCCCTCCTCTAGCAGGTCTCAAAAATGGTCTGAGGGGCAGCAATGTCTGACTTTTAAATTGAGCCCTGTAAAGTATTGTATGTGCTGTGGAGTACTGTAAGTGAAGTATGTGCTGTGGAGTACTGTATGTTTTACATAGAACTGTATGTTGTGTAAAATACTGCATGTATTTTTATATTTAAAATATTAGTTAACAGCCTCAATAAATAATTTCTTTTCAATGATATTCAACGTTATTTTAAGATTTAGTGTTAAAAATTTAAATTTACATTAAGTATTACAAAACAAAAGTAATAAACAGTAATAGTCCATATGAAAAGAATTTATTTAATAAGAGTTCATTTAATTAATGTTTTGTATATATTAAATACTTCAGACTTATAACCAATTAAATATTTTATAACATATTAAATAAACTATTGCATATTGTATGTATACAAAGTTATTTTGATAATTCATTTAATATAATATTTTAATATAAAGAATATTAATTTCATGTAACATTTATATGAAATCAATCATGTTCTTGTGTCTAGCAATTTATTGCAGTTGAAAACCCAAATCTTACATAAATTATTGAACAAAAAGCATGAAGTTTTTTCAGAAGATTATTTTGGAGTATGATTTAGAAAACTTGAAAGTTTCAAATAAAGTGTAAAGAATAAGTTATAATTCAAGAAAAAACAAGGAGTAGATAGAATTGATTAGAGATGGGTTAGAGACATAGGGTATTTGAGCTTTAAAATAATTTAAAAAACTTTAAAGTTAAGTTTATCAGTCCATTATCATTTAGAGACTCAAGTACAATAGATCACAAATATAAATATGACAGGCAGATTTTTTGTAATGGAGTTGATTATAACTTCTTAACAAGTAGAATAGCATCGTCATTAAATGCTTTACTAAAAAAAGCATTAAGACAAATCAATAAATAACTTTGTATCTATGATAAAGTCATTTGTGAATAAATAGAGGTTTTTTCGAAAGTAAAAAAAAGTTTACTGTTTTTGCTGTTAACTAAAAAAGAGTGTCTTAGTGTTTTCTCAATTACTTGTATTATTGCCAGCTATATCTTTTAAATAATAAGGCTATACTAATAGTTCCTTTTTTTTTTAGAAAAACGGACCATGACACTGACATAAAGCCAAATGTTAGAAGTGAATCAAATAATAAAGGTGATATAAAGAAAGAAACTAATGAAAAAGTGTTACATAAGAATAACAAAAATAAAACATCAGAAAAAATATTTTCTGTCGATAATAAAAATATAAACATTCCAATGAACAAAGATATAATAAATTGTAATTTGGCTGCGAAACAATATACATTACCAAAAAAAAATCAAAGTTTAAGTAAGTCTATCAAAACAGAAATAGCAGATGACTTTTTTGAAAATGATATGCTTGATAACTTTCCTCTAGAAGATTTGGGGCTGCTAGAATATTCTCAACCAAAAAGTGCTAAATTGAACTTAATAGAAAAAAAAGTAAATAAAACTTCCAGCATCTCTCCAAAACAATGTTTCTTAAAAAATAAGGTTTTGTGCTCAAATGCAACATTAAATAAAAACAATAACTCACATTTAAATGATAATAACTTCAATAAGAAATATGAACAAGATAATATAGATTGTGAATTAGATGTTGATGCTGATTTATTCTTAGATGATGTTGATATAATTTCAAATTTAAACTGCAAGATATCAAAAGATAAAACTAGTTGCAAAACATCTAGTAATCAAACAAAAATAGAGGAAAGTGAGGCCAAGACTAAGGTGGAATCAAACTATAACAGTTTGTACAGGAATCAAAAAGATAGTTCATGTGCAAAAGATTTCCACATGGCTGAAAAAGGTAATCAATTAACTTTTTTAATAATAAAATTCTTTATAAAAAGTCTTACAAATTTCTTTTTTTAGAGTATGACAGTTTATCAGATTTTGTTGAAAATAATTCAGTCAACACTGTACTAAATGTTAAAGTAAGATGTTTTATGTCTTCAATAATATATATTTGATAAAACTTATGCAGTTGCTGCAGTTACTAACTTTTTTTTTCTAGGAGTTTGATTAGCAGAAATGAAATAACTGTATAGCTTTTAGCTTAAGGTGCCAAGTTCTATATACGCTTGAGTTTTTTTCTAATAATTTAACTAACTATACTATAAAAAATATTAAACATAAAAACCCCTCATTACCATCAAGTTGTTTTGTTAGTTTATTCTTTTAACAAATGTTTGTGGTAACTTTTTATCTGTTATAACTTTTTGTCTGTAGAATCTTACCTTTTACAAAATTCATCATTGCACTTTGTGTCACTAATTTAAATTTGGTTGTTTTATATTTGGATTTTACTGTCAATTACTATTATTCATTGGTTTGTCAAGATTAGTCACATGCTAGGTTTGGGTAATATATCTATATAAATACTTATTGTAAAAGCCAGTTTCAATCCTTGGACTATACTTTAATGTGTTTTGTTTAGCATCAATTTGCATTGCATCATTTTCAGTAATCTCTGGGTTACTACAAGGTTTCAACATTAATTCTGTTTTGTTTTTTTTCTGTGTTAATGATTTTCTGGTAATGTTACTTCTAAAGTGCCTTAATTTGCCGATGACACACTTATATACTCCCATCTTAACAAAAGATCATTACTTTTAAATTGATTAAAACAGGTTGTTGAACTTGAATATGATCTATCTACTTTGACAGTTTTAGGGCAAGTGGTTAGTGAATCCAAAACACAGTTGTTTTATTTATTTGTCTGTATATGCTACTGGTTATTGCATTATTTGTGATATTCCTTTATTGATGACAAAACTTCTACTCACTTTTTTAACATTTACTTCAATTTTATTCATGTTCAAAAAATTTTGGTTAATCTATTTTTTTCCCTTTGAAATTCTCTCTTTATGTTTTCATGATTCAAACAGTTTTTTTAAATTTTCTAATTATAACCTTTAATTTCCTTCAGTAAATCCTAACTTAAACAGTGTTTATTTGCAGACTTGTAGAAGGTATATTTAATAAAACAAAAACCTTTAGTGTAAACAGTTCACAGGGAAATAAATATATGGCACTGCCCAAGTTGTAGTGGGTTTTACTTTTTGAAGTTATACATTTAAATTTTAATGTAATATAAAAAATGTAAATTTATTTAATTTTTTTCAATTGTTCTAGTGTTGGTTTCAAACTTTAACTTCAAAATTAGAGTTTCAAGATTTTTTTAAAATATCAGGAATAATCACAGATGGAATCAAAAATATTGAAGTGGTATTGACTGACAAGGTATTATTTCAAGATTTTTCTAACATTTGATGTGGATATTTGAGAAGTAATATTTAATATGAATTTTCATTTTTTTTAGTTTAAGCATCTACTGAAAGTGTTGTCTGTTTATTAGTTATTCTCTTATAATTTCTTGATGCATATTACTTTTTATAATTTTTTTATACTGTGTTCACCTCTCATTGCACTAAGTGGTCACTGCAGTTAAAATAGCTTCTTATTTTTAATATTTTAATTGTTGTTATATGCCTTTCTCAACACTAGAGTTTCAAGAGAAACCTTCACTGCAATGTTGTTTCACAAAGAAACAAGTTGAGGGCAATACTACCATAGATGTGGTGGGGATTAAACTCAATGCTTCTTGCTCATAAAATAAGCACTCTACTATTAGAAATTGAACAATGTATGACATAAGTATACTAAATTAATTCTATGATGATTACACTAACATAATAAACGAGAGTTCATAAGACCCATTAGGGCTTAAATTTACATTTCTGATTCTATATCAACTCATCCATTTTTAAAAATGAGCAAAAAGTGAAATTTTAAAGCTGTTTAATTTTTATTAAAACAATTTTTTTTTCTAATTTTTCTTAAAACAGGTGTTATTTTCTATTATTGGATATTCTTCAAAAGAAGTTTTGGAAGCTGTAAATGGAAAATTACCGTCATCACGTAAATCGAGCATAAAACAGGTGTGTTCTATTCACTCTTTCACTTACACAGTTAAAAATGTAACTTTGAACAATTTAATTTTTGGTATTTATTTACAGTGTCAAGAGGAGCATGTTTTCTGACCTGAGAAAAACTTTTTGTGAAAGTAAATTAATTTTGAAAACTTTTCAAAAAAGTTTAGTAAATTAACTTTAATAATGAATAAGATTTAAAATTTGTTTATAAATATAGCAAAAAATTAATCTTTACAAAATAAAGTATTTATGGTTTATGGTTGATAAACTTTTTTCTTATTAAATAATTCTTTTTTACTACACTTTTTTACTACACTTTTTTACTACACTTTTTTACTACACTTTTTTACTACACTTTTTTACTACAATTCTTTTTATACCCTCAAAATTCAAGTTAATATAAAAAACCGTTTAAAAAAAAAACAAAAAAAAAATATTAAAGTCTATTGAATAAAATATTTTTCATATTATCAAATTATAATACTGATATTTAATTGTCATGCAAATACAAAATTTGCAAAGCTATTAAAGGCTTTATAAATTTTTAAATAAATTTTCTTCAAAAACAATTGCTTATTTATGTTATCAACTTATCAAATTTGTAGCATAGTCAGGATGGCCACTGGCATTTTATTGCCAAAGTGTGCTGAAATAGTGTTGCAAATAATTAGTTCAGAGAACATAGTTAAGAAATTAAAGTGATTGATATATTGGCTTACATTAAAAAAAGATTGGATGTATTTTGGTAGTAATTGCTACACTAGGAAGGTTCATGTAAAAATGATAAATATAGCAATAGTAAATATACTAAATATAAAATAAAGCTGATACAATATTTTATCTTTAATTAAACTATATGTTAACCTCTAACAGTTTGAGATATATATATATAAATATATATATATATAAATATATATATATATATATAAATATATATATATATATATATATATATATATATATATATATATATATATATATATATATATATATATATATATATATATATATATATATATATATATATATAAACATAATAATAAATTCAAATTATTCAAAAAATCATAAGCTGAAATCACACATTTTTGAATTTGGAGCCTATTTTAAATACATTTATCTCAAAATATATAAGGTTCCTGCTAGGTGTTTTATTGTTTTTGGAAAAGTTAAACCATTGCAATTTTAATTGTTTGAAAAAGTTGAGGTAATATTGCTTATAATAATACTTGAGTAACTGTCAACTAACTTTTTCAAAAACTTTTTCAGCCAATAGAAAATACGGAAAAAGTTTAAAGATTGAATGTATAGATTTTCTATTACTCAATAATAACATTCTTTTAATGCAAAAAAAACTTATGGGGTAATATTGTATTGTTGAAATAACTCCATTTTTGTATTTAGGTTTTAAGTTTCATCTAATAATCTTTAAGTGTTCGAAACTTATAATCATGTAACGCTTCTGTCCTCACCGAAATGATGGGTTTAAATTTTCGAACACCTAATGGTTATTAAAGGAAATTTAAAGCCTGTCAATGATTTTAAATTTAGTATAAGTTACTAAAAAAATATTTTAATTATTCATTGTCCTCACATTTAGGGTATGGGGGGGATGATAGTAATCTTTTAATAGTATTGTGTTTCCAGGCTTCAATCAGTGTAATTTTATTTTTATAATGCAAAATATTCTCATTTGACATATGACATTTGACATAAACTTACTTTGGCGTTTGCACAAGGCTTGAAAGTGTCATTTCTGAAGCATCAAAAAATTCTATCTACGCAATTGAGTCATGAATTGGTTTACATATCCTTATATCTTTTATATCAATGTATTGTTGTCTTTAATTCATTTTAGGCTTTTTTAACCTTTTATTTTTTACAACCTTATAGTCTCCGTGCTGTTTTAAAGAAAATGGTGTTAGAATTTCATAAATCATTTTATTGGCTTTTTACTTTATAACATCAGGAAAAGCTAACCACTTAAAATGATTTCTTGATTCTACTAAAGCTATACTTTATACAACTCACCATGTAACCATCTGATGAAAATAAAATTTATTTAAATTTTAGTAACACAATCAAAATGATGTTAATGTTAATGTTCGAAAGATACTTATTTTCAAACTGAAAAAGTACCTTGTTTATAATCCCAGGATCGTAAAACTTTTTGTCAATGGTCTTTCAACCAAAATCTTATAGTAGAAGTAGTAGAAAATTTATGCATTCAATCTTGGGACCTTTCCTATTTCTCATAATGGCTGCTTTTTGAGCATTAGTTGAAACATTTCTTTGAAAGTTTGATAACATTTATGTTGACAGTTTGATGTTTGATTTTGACAGTTTGACTTGAGACAAATGTATTTAAAATAGGCCCAAAATTCAAAAGTGTTTAAGCTCATGATTTTCAGACTAAGGGTTTTCCTCAGTTTTTTAACTTTTTTTTTTTTAAAGTTCAACCTATTCTTCTTTAAGGTAGATCCATGGTAAAAAAATGCAAAAAAAATGAATTTTTTTTTTTAATTGTTTTTATTAGATAAACTACCAGCTTGTCAATTTTTATCTTTTATCTTCTACAAAATAAAAAAAATTTAAGTCTGTGCTACTTAAAATATATCTACTATGCTTTTAACTATTCTGTTATTTGTATTTCATTTGTTTTATTCGTAAATTACTATAACTATTAAATCTTGTGAGTGAGTTATATTTGAGTTATTGAGTTTTTCAAAACTATTAAATTAGCATATTTAAAAACCTGTCTGAAGATATTTTGTTTGTTGAACAGCTTTAAATGGCTAACAAGAGAAATAAAATAAGAAGAAAAATTAAACGTTTATATTGTGGCAATCGACACACTTGTACTTCCTCACTTCCAGAAAACCATGTTGTAAATAATATTGATACGGTCACATCATCTACAAGCTCTAAGAAACTTAAACTTTCTTTATTTAATTATTTTTTTAAAAAATTTATTTAAAAAATTTAATTAAGAGCTCGTAGAAAAGGTTTCATAGACAACGAAAAAGAAACTGAAGATTTAGAGTCATATTTTGCAGGAAATTATTAAATACTAAATTTCTTTTGCATTTTTCTGCATTTTTTATATTTTTGAATGTAGTAATCTTAGAGCAACTATTGCTCTGGATCTGCATATAGTTAAATATTCAAATTTTCAGGAGTTGTTTATTATACTTTAAAGTAGTGCCTGAACTAAGATCTTCAACAGAATTATTTTTTTTAGTGACAAATTTGTATTTCCCTATCGAGTTTTTGTCAAATATTTGGAATATTCACTAATATAGCAGCCATTTTGAAAGTACATAAAAATATAAAAAAATCCTAGTTCAGGCACTTAATCTATGTGTTTTCTCCAATTTGTAAAACTTTTAGCTTGATTGCATGAGTAGTTTATAAGTAATAGCTGTTTTGCATAACTCACTTTTTGTGTATTTTTATGCTGACTCAGCATTTTAAAATAGCTTTTTTTATTTTTTGAAGAAATTTTCTTTTTCATAATATGTTTTTGTTCATATTTCAACTTAAAAAAAATTGAAATCAAGAGTATTAAAGATTTTAGTTTTTTTACCATGGATCCACCTTAATATAAAAACAAACATGGGATGAACAAACTTGGATTTTGTCTTATTGCCTTTTTTTTTTTTGTTTCATTTTATTTTTTTTTATTTTTTTTTTTAATTTATTTTTAGAATCCCAAAATTCTAAAAATGACTTTCCAAGTGTTAAAGGGTCAAAAGTTTGATTGACCATAACAAAGGCACTATGACTATTTAGAAAAAAAAAATTTACATGCTTCTTTCTTACCCTGTTAGCATTACTATATAAAAAAAGTAAGTGTGATTTAAGTAAGTGTCACTTTTGAGCGTAGCCTGGTTTTCTAAGAAAATGGCTCTTAAGTCTATTTTTTATTTAACAGGTCCCTAATATTTAAAAAGTTCTTCAACCTGGTACTCAAATGAAGCAAAACAAATTCTAAATAAATTTCAAAAATAATTCAGTTTATACATCATTGTTTGTGAAAAATTTTAAAAATTAATCACTCACAATAAATATTTGTCAATTTTAAAAAACATGACAGAGTTGACCATGTTAAAAGCAGAGTTAGCCATGTTAAAAGCAGAGTTGGCCATGTTAAAAAAATACTCTTCGAGATTTATTGAAAGTTTCACTAAAGTTTAAATATTTTAATTAAAATCACTAAATGTGAATTCATAAGTCACAATATCGCTAAACAATGAAAAAAATTCATCTTTTATACAAATTTATGTGTTTATAAATTTGTGTAAATAATAAAAAATTGTTGTATCATTTTGTTGTTTATTGAATGTATACTGTATATCAAATTGTATTGAATGTATAATCAAAACTCTTGAAAAATCTTGATTTTAAAAAAAGAATCTCTATCAGAGATATTTTTTGGACTTTTTTTGGTACAGCTAAGCAGCTACATTTCGTTGCTAATAGCTTTAAATAGTGTTTGATCTTTTATCTTAAGGAAAATATTGTAAATATTGTTTTTGAAAGTACAAAAAACATACTTAAGCACAATTTTCATAGTGTAATAGGTCTTGTTAGGCATTGTGATAACAGACTTTGAAACCTGATATTTATCTGCTACAGCTCTTTTAGATTTTTGTCTAAACCTTAAATAAACACAATTAAACACTACTTATTGTAAAATAAATAAATTGTTTTATATCAATGACTTGAAAATACAGAAAAGTGTTAACTATAACACAAATGCAGCACATTGAACTAAAACACATTAAATGGTTATTAAATGGTTAAAGGTACATTCGAATATTCAAATGTACCTTTAACCTTTTTTTTTTTTCATATTCGAATGTTCGTTGATTTTTTCTTTAAGAAAAAATTAATGAACATTCGAATATGGTCCATCATCAGCAGTTTGACGTAGTTTTGCCATGATGTTGGAACAGGACCATTGTACAGCATTTATATCGATTTGACAAATGCATCTTTTGATCCGGATAATCAATTGTTTGCAATTCTTTGCTCTCCAGTTGTTTTTGTATACTAATGAACTCAAATATCCAAAGAAATCTTCAATTGGGCGACACTGAGGCAAGTTTTTTTTTTGTTCATATGTGATGTTTTGGGTTTCCAAGAAGATTTGTGTTTTTTTGGCATAATGCGATCCAATCAGATTAAGTTATTGCCATCTGAATGATATTTTTAAAGAAATGGAATCAACATTTTCTTCAAACATTGATTTTGGTATACTTCTTGATTAATAGCCAAACAACTTGGCTTAAAAAATGGCTTGGAAATTCCCCTCTTATAGATGGCAATTTACAGCATCACTTTCTCCTCAAACTTGTGTTTATGTTTGTATTTTACTTTTGTAGGTGTTGTAGAACTTTTATCTGCATAATATCAATCATTTCCTGGAACTAGCATTTTGGAGAGGGGGAAGTAACTTTCGTCATACAAAACAAAACTTTTTCTAGAGTAATTTCTGGTCATCCAGCCGCATTTTGATTTACATCTTGTTTTGACAGTATTTTAAACACAACTGAATTAGCTGATGTAAAACAAAACATATGATACGTTTGTAAACAGAGAGTGTATAGTTTATCTTTATCCCCCGTTATAAAAATAATTCTATCAATAAATTTATTTTTATGTAAAATCAAAATATCTTTTCTCATATTTATCAGCACCAAAGCATTGCACATTAAAGTGAATGGGGAAAAACTCTGTGGTTAAGCATATAAAAATTGTTACTGAAAGTTCCAGTGGAATAAGGAAAACACTTCAAAAGTAAAAATAAATCACTTTATTAGTAGAGTGAGATAGGTATTTTAAATACAATGTTGCAGTTGTCTTAATTTTAATTACAATGTTGCAAATGTCTTAATTGCAATAGTAAATTCTTACTATCTAAAAACATTAGTTTTAAAATTAATCTTGCAGCTCATAGATCACAGAATTGATAATCCGGTCCAAAATTTTACAGGTATCTATTGAACTATTGATTGTATGGTTTTACCATGGTATGATCATGGTATAAACATGGTATAACCATGGTATAATCATGGTATGACCACGATCTTTACTGTAATATGTTAAGATGAATAAGCTAAGAAATTATAAATGTAGTTTGGTGGGAAATTTTAATTTCAAAAATGAATGATAAGTTGATAAAGACGTTGTATTTTTCTTTGTTTAAACACTTTAAAAATAAATTAATTTAATTTAAAAATCTTATCCAATAAAATTCAAACAATATCCGTTCACATATTTGACCAATAACAACAATATTCATTTACATGTTTGACTAGGCCAGTGTATAGAAGAATTTACAAAACCAAAGATAAAAATGAATATCATATATTTCATCTGTGTAAAAATGAGTATCATGTTTTATAATATTTTTTATTTTATTATTAAAATTTTATTACAATAAAATTTGTATCAATAAAATTGAGCGACATAATTATTTCTTTATGTTTCACTTATGTGTATTAAGTCACATGATTTGTTTTTTATTGGTTATTTTTACATTTAATAAAATAGTTCACTGTTTGCAAGATTTTTTGTATATATATATATTTTTTTCAACAGTTTTTATTAAATAAAGTATTAATCCAGTATTATTTTATTATATAAAACACATTCAGGGGGTGCCAGCAGACATTTTCAACCAAAGTTGTTTTTAGAGTTATCCTAACATACATACATAGATTCATACATACATACATACATTCATACATACATACATACATACATACATACATACATACATACATACATACATACATACATACATACATACATACATACATGCATGCATCCATACATACATACATACATACATACATACATACATACATACATACATACATACATACATACATACATACATACATACATACATACATACATACATACATACATACACACATACATTCATGTCTGTCTATTTATTATACTCCACTAATATGTATATGCATTGACATAACTTTTAGATTATAAACATTGATTTTTTTAAAAAGTTTTTCAGTTAAATTTTATTTACTTGTGTAAATTTTTTAACAAAACGTTAGTACAATTATGATTATCAAATATGGAAAATAAAGTCATAAATATGTAAATAAAATTTATGCAAGTTTAAAAAAAGGTCGTTCAGAGTCATTGGGCTCAGATATACTGAGATAACTGAGACTGCAAATATTGAACTTGAAAAAATGTCAATTTTTCAACTAAAGTGGCCTCCTCAGACTTGAGGAGGTGAAAAAATATTTAAAAAAAGTGAAAATAATTCAACATTTATATTGTCAATAATATTTGTGTCTATTAGTACATAGTTTTAAATTTTTATTTTCTTTTTAATATATTAAATCTTAACAAATTACTTAACTATTGAGTTCCTATTGAAACTATCGAATGGAAATAACCTTGCATGGTATTAATATTTTTACTTAAAAACAAATCATGTGTGTAAAATTAAAATTTAAAGTTTTGGACAGCTTGTTTCTAGGTCACATTGGTTATAATAAATTAAATTTTTTTCAGGCACTTAAAAATGCAGAACAGCGTTTGGAAAAAGGAAAGTGGTTAGCAAAAATATGTTGTGATATAAATAACATTTACAATATTTTGGAGATGACACAGATCAATTGAAGTCTTGAAAAAAATGAATATTGTTTTAGCTTGAATATTTTTATTATATATAAACTTTTAGATTTAATGTTTTTTTTTTTGTGTTATATTTCAATGTTTTTATGTCTTTTATTCTAGTTACACATGATAAAAAGAATACAATTAATTGTTCAATAAAAATATAAAATTTTTAGTTTTAAAATAAGTTTTTGCTAAAGGAATTAAAATGATATTTGAAATAAATCATTTATAAAAAAGCATAAATTAACTATGACATTTTTACATACATACATGCATTCATACATACATACATACATACATACATACATACATGAATACATACATACATACATACATACATACATACATACATACATACATACATACATACATACGTACGTACATACATACATACATACATACATACATAAATACATGCATACATATATACATGTATGCATGCATACATGCATACATGCATACATATATACACACATACATACATACCTACATACATACATACATACACATACAAAAAACATTCTTTTTTCAATGAATATTAGAGTTATACAATCCAGCTGTTGAATATTAGAGTTTTATATTTAGTTGAATATTAAAGTACAGCTGCTGATTAATAAGGATTTAACCACTGTTTTTTATTTATATTTTTACAATAAATGTTCATTTCATGAGTCATCTTACAAACTATGAACTACCTTTAAAAATTTTAAGTTATAAAATAGTTGAATTAGTTCACAGCAAGACAAAAAAAAATCATAAGTCAGTTTAATACAACACACAACCCATGAACAATCAAATTTAATGCAAATTTTATAACCCATGAACAACCAAATTTAATACAGCTTACAACCCATGAACAACCAAATTTAATACAGCTTACAACCCATGAATGACTAAATTTAACACAACTTACAACCCAACCTATTAAAAATATTTGACTAATTAACTAACACTAATTTAAAAAATAAAACAATTTATGTTTTAAAGGCCTAATAACATGTTTATATTTATTGTTCATTTTAATATTTAAAATAATTGTTTGTGTAATTATTGAAAGAAAAAATTTTTTTTTTTATGTGTTGCTTAAAATGAATGAAAGCCGCAGGTTTTTGAACTCTTTAATAATCTTTGAATTAAAACATACTAAAAATACTTTAAAAACAATTATTTAATATTTTTATATAGTAGTTAATTATTAGATAAGTAATATAAGCTTATAGAATTACATGTTAGAAAAGTAAATAATATAAAATTTCTTAAAGGCATAAAACAAAAATAAATAATATAAAATTTCTTAAAGGCATAAAACAAAAGTAAATAATATAAAATTTCTTAAAGGCATAAAACATTAGAAAAGTAAATAATATAAAATTTCTTAAAGGCATAAAACATTAGAAAAGTAAATAATATAAAATTTTTTAAAGGCATAGCAGCATGTATATATTTATATTTTATTTTAATATTTCAAATAATTATTTGCATAGTTAAAAAATAAAATATAATTATTTTTATATATTAATTACATTGTTATCAGAACAGTAATTTAAATACATAGAGTTACATGTTTTTAGAGAAGTAAATAATATGACAGTTAACTGTATGCTTTGTGAAAAAAGAGCTGTATTAAAAAGACCAAAAAATGTAAGTTTGTTTAAATATTTTAATCATTTTAATATATATATATATAATTAAATTAAAACAAATATAAAAAAAAATTGTAAAAATATAAATAGATAACATATATATAGTTATATTGATTAAGTAAAAAATTAAAAGACATCTATTTTGACTTTTGCTGTTGTTTTATTTTATGTATTATTTTAAAATTGTGTTACAACCTACTATTTACATATTTGGCATGATTTATTATATAGTTATTTTATTTATTAAAAAAAAAATATCCAGCCCTTGGAATTAGAAAAAATGAAGTTGGCAATAAGTGGCCAACCTTAAACTGTTAGAGGTTGGTATCAGGTTGGGAAAAAATTTGACACAAAGGCATTACCGTAAAATATAAAAATGAGGTCAATGATTTTTTGCTTACCTCTAACACTTTATTATTCTTACTGTTGTAAATTACTAATGTTATTATTATAGTTATATTTATTATTGTTATTACTACTATTATTATTTTAGTATTATTATTATCTCTATAATTGGCACTATTATTTTTGTTATTGTTACTGTTGTAAATTACTACTGTTATTGTTATAATTATTATTGTTACTACTGTTATTATTACAATGATTATTACTGTATTGTTGTTATGAATTTTATTATTATTATCATTAATTTACTATTTAGTTTATATACTTTTTCAAATTTATATTTTTGTCAGTTATATAACTGTTTGTGAATGATCCTAGCTTTGTATTAATTTTAATTTATAAAGTGAAATAAATGATTGATTGATTATATTGGCAGTTAACACAGCATTGTTGAATGTTGACCTAAATTCCAAGGGCTCAATCTAAATAAATTTTTTTTAGGGAAAAAAACTCTGTAGGGAATGTTTTTATAAAGTTTTTGAAGAAGAAATCCATGAAGCAATTGTAACAAATGAATTATTTGTTCCAGGAGATACAGTGGCTATAGGAGCTTCAGGAGGAAAAGGTTTCTAATAAAAAAAAACTCATGTTTCTTCTAATAAAAAAATCATAGTTTAATGCAAATAAAAATTCACTTGTGTTCACCATAAATTTTGTATAGATTCAACTGTTCTTGCTCATATTATGAAAACCTTAAATGAAAGATACAACTATGGTCTAAATCTTGTTCTGTTATCTATTGATGAAGGTATAACTGGTTATAGAGATGATTCTCTTGAGGTTGTTATTATTTTTTTCCTTTTTTTATTTTAACTTAAAAAAGTTTTAGCATTATTTACTAACTAAACAGTTATTTTTAAATTGCTTCTGTTAATTAATATTGAAGAAAATTTAATAATAATATAATTTAATTATAGTGGTTGAATTATAGTAGTTTTTTAATTATACTTACAATGTTTAATTTTTTTTAAATCTAAGTTTGTTTAGTTTTTATTGATTTATTTTTTATATGTTTGTATTCATGTTACCAAGGCTAAAGAGCTTTACTGTATTCTCCTCCCTAAAGACAAGGGAGCCACTTCTTTTACTTATTTTTTATATTTTAAATTATTACAACTCTCTTTCTCAACTCTATAACTTACAAACTTTGATGAACAAGGCTGATTGAGCATGTTGAATGCAATACTACCAGGGTTATGGTCATCATGACTGAACTAGATACTTTTGACATGAAACCTTTACAACTATACCATTGCTTTTTATTACACTTAGCATTTAGAAGTATAGTTTAAAAGTAAATAATAATAAATGGTATAGTTTAAAAGTAAATAATAATAAATGATATAATTTAAAAGTAAATAATAATAAATTTAAATCTCATCATACAAATATTTAGAAAGAAAATGACTTGTCTTTGTGAATTTTGAAAAATTAACTTTAAAAAATTATTTCAAATAAGCGAGTTAGAAATAGGTTTGTACATGCCAAATTTACGAATAATTAAAAGAAGACTTTTTCTTAATTATGAGTTTGTCAGATGTATTAATTGTATTATGGTTTGACAAGATGTTATTCATAAAACTATAGTGACATTTACAATGTTATAGTTTTATAACATGCCACTATAGTTTTATGAATGTTATTCATAAAACTATAGTGTTATACTATATAGTGTTAAACTATATAGTGTTAAACTATATAGTGTTAAACTATATAGTGTTAAACTATATAGTGTTGCACTATATAGTGTTAAACTATAGTTACAAGATTTGATCAAAAATAAATTCAAATAATTCAAACAAAACATTTACAAACAAACTTTAAAATCCTTTAAAATTTTTTTTTTAATAAAAAGGTAACTTGCAGGTAAGACATTACGAATAACTGAACCAATAAAAAACACAACTCTTAGACGGTACTTAAAACTTCTAAATTTTGGCAAAAACCATTAACTGTATAACTTAAATGAAATAAATTTATTCATAAAACTCTTTATTTCAACAAATAGTTTATATATATATATATATATATATATATATATATATATATATATATATATATATATATATATATATATATATATATATATATATATATATATATATATATATATATATACACATATAAACCCTTCTGGAATATTTTTTTAGACAGTTAAAAGAAATCAAGTGCAGTATGATATACCATTGAAGATTTTATCATATAAGGTTTTTTTTTCTTTATTATTACTAAAAATGAAACTTGATTTTGTACTTCTCATAAATTACAGCTAAAGATCAAGTTTAGTTATATATAGTTTTAAATGAATAAATTAAATGTAATTATCATACTGAAGTTAAAATACAAAAGAGTAAATGCAAATAGAAAATAACAAAAAAGTTGTGAATTAAAAAGTGTAAAAATATAATGAATGTTATCATTATTATGTCATAAGTAGAATATTATATAGACAAATTTATTGACTACTAAGTTCTTCCAATAGTCAAAAATATTTCAATGTAATGGAATACAAAATATTTTATACCACAAAAATTAAATTAATAATTACAGCCTATTTATCTTTGTTTTTGTATTATGTTGTACATTAACATAGCAGTATAAATTTGCACTTAATGAAAAAAGAATTTTTTTGTTTTAAATATAGATCATAAACTTTTATTAGTGTTTAAAAATAAAGTGTTTGTGTTTATTTCTTTGTTAATGCAGATAAACTACTACTAATTCTGCAACTAATAAATTCACTAAAATTAATTAGATAATAATAATAATAAAAATAATAATAATAATAAAGTTTAATGAATTTTTGATAATATTTTTTTGTTACATATAAATCATCTATTTTTATAAACTGAAATGTTGGTTTCAAAAATAATCTGGCAAATAAAAAATGTCAAAAAATGTCTGGGTCTTATTAAAGTTTCCTCATTGTTTAAACATATAATTTAAATATTAAAAGGGCAAAAATATTAAACAGGCAAATAATTTTTAATATTTGACTATAGGAGTTGTATGGTTGGACAATGGATGACATAGTCAAACATGTTGGAAGAAAAAACAATTGTAAGTTAAATTTTTTTAGATTAAAAATATTTTTTTTAGATTTTTTTAGTTAAAATAAGTGACTGTTTCTCTAATATTTTAGTATTAAAAAATGTTAACTTTTAAAAATAAAAAAAAGCTTGCTATGGAAAAATATTTTTCCACTCCTCGATTCCATTTATTTTATAGAATGGTCAAAAAATGTCTATATTGAGGAGTCAATTGAAAATTTTTAACTTTTTTTTTATAATACATGTATTGATGTTTTCAAGTAAAAGCTTTAGTTAAGGCATTACCAATTATGCTAATTTATATTTTATACATTTAAAAATGCAAGTGAAATATTTTGCTGAAAATTATTAGAATAATATAACACTTTGTTAACATTTTTATTTTTATTTTATTAATTTCTTTTTTTTTATTATATTTTTATCATAATAATGGTTATACTTATAGACCAGGAATTGCCAAATAGCAGCTCACGAGTTGCATGCAGCTCTATTGAAAAATTATATTAACTTACTAATAACTAGTATTATACATAGCTGGAAGAGATATCATTTTAAAAAAGATAAAGGTGGCGATAATGCACTTCACAATAAAAGTAAGAAAAGAAAAATTGAAGATGAAAACAGATTATTTCATGGTGATTGGACAGAAAAATACGCATATATTGAAAAAGACATCAAACCTATGTGTTTAATTTGCAATACTGAACTTGCTCATAATAAAACATGTAATATTAAATGCTAATATGAAACAAAATATATGTATTTTTCTGAGGAATACCTTTCAAATTCATGTCATGGAAAAATAAAATTCGGTTGTTCAAAACAATTTGTAAAAAATCAACAAATGAATATTTCATCTTCCAGCAAAGAATCAAATATTGCAAAGGAAGCAAGTTTTATTATAGCTTGGAATATTGCAAGGAGTAAACATCCTCACACCGATGGAGAGTTTGTAAACAAAATTTTTTAGATCTCAGTTTTAGATCCTAATAAGAGCTAAATTCAATTGGTTAATTTCAAATATTTTTGTTTCTTGACATACAACTAATGGAAGAATATCTGAGATTAGTCTCAAAGTTAAACAGCATTTGTTAAATGACTTAAAAAATTGTGAAGCATTTATTTTAACATTAGATTTTATCAACAGATACTCAAGATAAAACTTGTGGAATTGATTTAAATTCCCTTGACACTGTTTTGGTGAAAGCTAATGCCTCTAAGATGAGCTTGTTACTGTTGCTACAGATGGTTTACCAGCAATGGTTGGAAAGCATGTTGGGTTTATTGGTTTACTAAAAAAACGATCCTACATATCCAGAGTTTATCCCAGTATCCAGTTCATTGTGTTTTTCATCAAGGAAATTTAGCAACAAAACATTTTAATTTTCCATTTGTTTTTAAATCATTGCTGGGGATTGTAAGTTATATTTGATCAAATGCAAAAAATCACAGACAGTTTAAATATTTCATTATTGAACTGGATCTTGCTGACAAACCAAGTGACTTATCGTTTTTCTGTGCTGTAAGGTGGCTTTCAAGTAATGACATTTTTTATAGGTTTGTAGAACTATTAAAACCAATTAAATCTTTTTTGCTTGAAAAGCAAAAGACATTTGAAATCCTTAATGTGAATTTTTTGCAATAATTTCTATTTTTAACTGATGTAATGCAACATTTACAAAATCTGTAATAAAAAAAATCTGCTCTATTTCAGAAATATCTTACCTTTTAATCGTTTTCCTCATCTTTTGATTCAGTATGATAATCATAAGGTTGAATCATATTGTGAAAATTACAGAATTTATTCAAAGACTTTTAAACAGGTTTAATTTGCATGTTCTTAAATTATCATTAGCATTTATAGTAAATCTTTTTTTAAATAATATTATTAGTGATGGTTGTCCAATTCCAGGAAACATGCTTGAAGAAACGTCTCATTTCGAAAAGATCTCCAAGAAGATCAAAATCTTTGAATGCTGCTTAAAACACTAACTTTATTGGGTTTATGGAAAATAGTTCCTGAAGTTAAGTGTCCTCAACTTAAAAGAATTAGTATAAAACTCATTTCAATTTTTGGTTCAACGTATATATCTGAATCTTTATTTTTGACTATGAAATTTATTAAATCAAAGTATCGTGCCAATCTAACTAGTGAACATTTGTTAGAGTTGTTTATCAGTTTGTTAGAGTTGAATATCAACTACAAGCTTGAAACCAGATTTTTTTAAAATTACCAGTAGCGTTCAGAACCTTAGTGTCTAATAAATTTTTAGTAAATGTGCAATTAATTATGCGAGAAGAATTTTCTAATGGTCTTTTACAATTGATGTTATAAAAAACAATTGATGTTATAAAAAACAATTGATGTTGTAAAAAACAATTGATGTTGTAAAAAACATTCTTTTTGTTATGTCTGAATTTTGGCTGAATGATAAAAAATTTATTTTTTGATTGTAAAAATAAAAGTAATTTGAACTTAATTGAAATTTATTGAAAAAATTGTTTTATTTTGTAGTGATTTTTTAATTTATTTCTGTAGTTATTTAGTAACTTATGCTATTAAGTGAACTTATGCTATTAAGTGAACTTATGCTGTTAAGTGAACTTATGCTATTAAGTGAACTTATGCTATCAAGTGAACTTATGCTATTAAGTGAACTTATGCTATTAAGTGGTTATAAACAAGTTCAATTTAAATAAAAACAAGTCTAATTCAAATACATTAAAATAGTTTTTTTTTTTTTTAAAGAAATCTTTTTATCTTTAAATTTTTATATCTTGCTCTAAATTATTTTTATAAGAAAATTTGTGACTGTTGTAATTGTGTTAGTTTTAAAAAAAGTTTATGATCTGGAGATGCTTTCTCAATTTTTTTTATAAATGGTTTTTTAGTGTGAATAAAAAAGAGATCAGATTTTATGTAATCAAGTTTACATTTAAAGATTAGTTCTTGATTTCTCTCTTTTTCTAATAAAAACTAATTACTAAACATATATTGTACTAAGACTATTTATAAAAGTACAATTTCCATTTTAAAAAGTCAAAATATTGCTTATAAAAAATCTAAATTTACATTTGTCAATTTTTTTTAAGATGAAGTTGACATAGCGAGATATTTATTGCGGCTCTTTGGCTTGCATTATTGTGGCTCTTTGGCTTGCATTAGTATTTATATGCAGCTCTTGTGTTAAAAATTCTGGCCAACACTGTTATAGACTATTAAAAAAGTCCACTTTATTTGCAGACACATGTAATTTATCAAATACTGCTTCTATAGTTTGAATCAAAATTATTTTCAATTTTTTTTTTTTTTTTTTTTGTACTTCACCTCCCCAAGGCCAAGAAGGCCACTACAGATGAGGAGGCTACTTGTGGTTATAACCCTCTCCCGACTCTATAACTCCGAAACACGAACCTTGACAAACAAGGCCGTCGTGCGGAGAAACAAATTGAGTGCGGTACTACCAGGGATGTGGTGGGAATCGAACTGGGAACCTCTCGCTTATGAAAGGAGCGCTCTACCACTACACCACTATCTTGAATTATCTTATCCAATTATCTTGGATAAGATAATTCACTTGTAAAATAAATAATGGATTTCGTATTAAAGCATGTATATATTTTCCAGATAAAAACTTTTTTTATATTATTAACTTTCAACTGTTATGGAGATTCTGAAAAACGTTTGCTACATCAAATCTTTGATGGCAACAAATGTAAAAAAAGTGTTTTATACTAAATTGCATGCCTAATAGCATGAAAGAGAGTCAGTGTGATGATAGCAAATCCAAGTGCATTTTGTTTGTAATTAAAATTCCTTGGAATAAAGCTGGATTTCCAATAGTTTCTGACAAAAACCACAAGAAAGCATTTAACCACAAAAAAAACAATTTAAAAAGCAAGAAGGTCAACTTCAGATTTAAAAAGACAAACTGATTTTATACATAAATGATAAAGAAAATGTTCTGGGTTGGTACACCTTAGAGAAACCATAATGATAAAGTTTAGCAATTCTTTTAAATAATGTTGCAGAGGTCTATCTTTTTGGAGTACCTTCTCTTCCCTTTTCCTCAGGTGAATCTCCTTGAGGACAATAAAATCTAAGAAAATATTAGAGGACTATGCTTTAATATAACTTGCAGGGATAGTTTAGCAAACAATCTAGATTTTTATTAATTATTTCTAGCTAGACACCATGTATCAGAGCTAAAAACTCCTAATTTTTATCATGATACTAATAATGTTACAAAATATTTTTGGAATAAGGCAAGACACTATTACTAGGTGTACTGCAGTTGAGTCTCTTTATTTATGCAAAAAAAACATCAAAGTGAAAAAGTTGAAAGGGATGATAGAAAAAAAACTAGCTAAGCTACTTATTGCTTATTTGTCTTCTAGATATATAAAAGTTAGGAAACCAGGAGCTATGCACGCTATAAGATTCCTTGGAAACCAGGAGCTTTGCAAACTACAAGATTCCTTGGATACTAGAAAATGTGTAGCCTGTAATAATCCTTGGAAAGTTCTCAAAAGTCTCAAAATGGAACTACATTCGAATCAAATTAATTTTTTGTTCAGGATGATAAACTACTTTTAGAAAAAAGGAATATCATGGCGGAACTGATTGGTTGTTTTTTTGTAAAATGCTATTTGTCAGGCAACAAGGCTACTAAAACCCCATAGTTAGACATTTTATCTATACTTAAAATGCATTTTTACAAAAATGTTTGTACCAAACCATATGCAGTTAAAGCAGTATTCAAATCATTTTACAAACAAACCCTGTCTAAATTTTAAAATTGTACTTCTTTCTTTGTTTGATAATGTTGTTTCTAATGAAGAGACAAGTATGATTGCATCTGTCATACTTTAATATGACATCCCAAATTGTCCATTGGATTGAAAATAGAGTTTACAATGATCCCCTTAATCAAGTTTTTGTGTGGATAATTGGTGCACACAGTCAAGCTTTAAGATCTTGAATGGTTTTGCTAAATCTCTAGTTAATGTAAATGACCCTGCTGAAAGAGATGTGGGAATGATGCAGTAGCTTGTGTACAAAGAAGAAGAGATTCAAAACAGATTTTTTACTGTTGATAAAGTCAGATATACTGGTCCGGGCAAAATCTTCAAGACAAGGTTGATTGACTTTCTGCAATAGCAAAAAAAATTAAACATTATCAATCGAGTTTAATTTTTATCTGCAATAGCAAAAAAAATTAAACATTATCAATCGAGTTATTTATTATATGAATTAGTTATAAATTCAATTATTATTTTTTAACTTCAATAATAAATGCTCGAAATTAAATTTTAATTGTAATGCTTAAATATTTAAACTATTCAATGCAACATAGTTCCTTTTTTTCATTTTTAATATGAATATATAACAATTTAATATGATATAAATATATAACAATATAAGAAATGTAATAAATGTAAATATATAACAATAAAACAGCAAAAGTAATGTAATTATGCATTAAATACCTTTGTATTTGAAAAAATAGACCAATACATGCATTATATAAATAAAATAGTTCAAAATTTAATATGATCACTTCTCCCAAGACTTTGGTGGCATTTTTTGAATACTTTACAAAATTAAATGGGCCCTAAGGTAGATAAAAGAGTGATTTAATTTCGCTATTTTTTTTTTTCTGTTTTAACAAAAGTCAATTTAACACAAATGTCCCATATTTTAAAGGGTAATTTATTGAAAATCCTTATTGAAAAAATTTCCTCGAAAGCATGTGCCGTTATATCTATAAGAATATCAGGGTAGGTTGGTTTTAGCTTCTTTTTTTTTTTTTTACTTTTGTGTAATGAAGCTGGGATAGCTCAGTTGGTTTGCATCCTGCTCAATAATGGATTTCCATCAGGCTTTAGTAGCAGTGTTGTGTGGTTTAGTACTACTATAGATACTTCGGTATTTTATTTGTGATTAATAGGTCTGAAAAATTTCTTTCAAAGTTTAAAAAATAAAAAATATTCAAAGTTTTAAATATCGGTTATAAAATTCATAAAGTAACCAATAACTTTTTGTTGAAAATTAATTGCAAATTAAGTCCAACATAATTGTTATAAAAAGACAAAACTTTTTGCTAAATCATTTACTTGTATTAATTAAATTTAAGTTGGTTTTAAAACTAAATGTTTTTATTGGTAAATATGAGTTTTATATCATTGATCATTGCTTTTAGAAGTAGTATTTTTATAGTAGTTTACCGATACATAAAATTTAATGTAGACTTTCTGAAGCAGATTAAATTATCATAAATAATAGAACACATATAAAATTTTCAAAACAACTAATTCATTATACTAAATACACTCTAATACAGTGTGTATATATTATTGGTTAAAAAAAATGCTAAAAGCTAAGGCTCCATATGACTTAAGTAGACAAAATGGAGTTAAAATAAAAATTTCAAGTTTTTATTGAAATGGAAATTAGTATGAAGCCAATAAAACATGTGATTGTAAGTCATGATTTGCAACAAATTTATCTATGTAACTTTTATAGAAAATGATGCTACAGATTTTATGTTATAGGTACATTTTGTGGTGTTTTATGTTGTAGGTACGTTTTGTGGTGTTTTTCGAAGACAAGCTTTAGATAGAGGAGCCATGTTAGTAAAGGCAAATAAGATTGTTACAGGTATGTTTATTTTCTTTTTAAATTTATTAGTTTTTTTCTTTTTAAAATTATCTAGAGTTGTTTACATTATACAATTTTTAAATATAATTAATAATAACTAAAAGTGAATATTCAAAGTTGCTTACATTATGTAATTTTTTTCTTATACACAAGTTTATTTCTTAGGAGTATTTTATTAGTTAGGTAAGGTACGTTAAGCCTCTACAGTAACTTCTTTATCTGATGAATGTTGCTCAACTTTTTCCACTTCTGTTCCTGCTATCAGGTCAATGTGTTGTCTCACATAGACCAAGCCTGTTGAACAACAATGTTTATTAAATATTTTTATCAATGTAGAAATTCGAAAAATTCATTTTACTATGCTTAACAATACTGGATGATTGAGTAGTAACAAAATAGACATAAATGGTAGCACTGTGACAAAAATAAAATCATACCTGCTTCTATGATTTCCTTCGAATGTTCTTGAACTTTGGCAGAAGGATTGGTGCAGCTGATAACTGGAAAGAAGGATTGGTGCAGCTGAAAAGGTATGATTTTATTTTTGTCACAGGGTAATGCATCATCTCATCAGAACACTTTTGAACATCATACTGAACTGTTTTGATAAGTGTTAGGCACATTTCAGAGGATGTCTCCAGGCTGCTGAGTTTTACTTGTACCTAAAGACTGAAAAATGTTTTTCTTCATAACAGTTCAATAAACAGAAAAACTTTCAACTGGACTTAGCTTGTAGGACACACAACAAATGCAAATTTTTAAACATCTCCTACAGGTATAGGTGTGTAAATATAAAAAAGTATATTTATATTTATATATTTATCAATATTTGATTATATTAACTAAATTATGTAAACTAAATGTTGAATAAATTATTAATAGTAATAAATAATTGTTAAAAGGTTTTCCACACATATTTCAATTTGTCTTAATATTTTATAGTGCATACTTTTAAATTAAATATGTGACTAAATCACTAAAAAAATATATTCATCATTTAAATATTCTAAAAACATATTGATTTTTTCACATACATTGTTAAAAGGTTTACACATATTACATTTTATATTTACATTTCATAATGCATAATTCTAAAACTAACTGTGACAAAATCACTAAAATGTGGCAAAGACTAATAACCATTTTTGTCTCAAAGGAAAAAATCTCCTTCGCACATTCAGAGTATGTTCAAATTGAGCCATTTTAATCAAAATTAATCTAGATTCTAAAATTAAAGTATTATTATATTATAGTTTACAGTAATGTTTAAAATGCATAATCAGCAGTTTTAACATTACATCGAATATTACTTAAATTCATTTTATATGACAGTTAAATCATGACACAAGAAATAGAGCTAGCTTAATTGTGCATTGGCAATTTTGCACCTGCCAATTACTGACTTGGGTGTTAACAAGGTCATGCATTGATGCAATGTAAGATTTACCTACAACAGTTGTGTAAACTAAAGAACAAAGTAATATTATACAAGTACACAATTAGTACTTTTTTTTTTAATGTCTTTAACTTTCATAAAGCCAAGGGTGCTTCACTAAAAGTTCAAATAACTCTTAAGAATTCGTCTGTACTATTTACATAAAAAAAGTTTTATAACTTCTTCATAGTACAAATAGTTATCATCTTTAACACATTATTTACTTCAACCTTATCATCTTACTAAAAACGCTGTTCTGTTATTTATAAACATAAATCTTTAAAATCTCAAAGTGTTAACTCTTTGTTCTTTCATATGAAATAGAATCTCTTTTATTATTCTCTACCCTAAAAAATAATACAAATTTAAAAGAAAAATATTTTGAGACCTGTTATCATGTTCAATCTCTCGTTTATCAATTAATCAGTACAGTAGACCTAAATGAACTGTGCCCTGTATATATATATATATATATATATATATATATATATATATATATATATATATATATATATATATATATATATATATATATATATATATATATATATATATATATATATATATATATATATATATATATATATATATGTGTATATATATACATATACATATATATATATATATATATATATATATATATATATATATATATATATATATATATATACACACACATATACACACACATATACACACACATATATATATATATATATATATATATATATATATATATATATATATATATTAATTTCAGTTCACCTACCTAAGGCTATGAAAGCCACTACAGTCGAGGAGGCTACTTTAGTTGTGGTTACAACCCACTCTGAATTCTATAACTTAAACACCAACCTTTACGAATAAGGCTGCTGCGCAAAGAAACAAGTTGAGCGCGGTACTACCAGGTGGTTTGTGGCGATTGAACTCAGAACTTCTCACTTATGAGTTGAGTGCTCTACCGCTACCCCACGACTGCAAATTTAAAGCAATATATGATTTAAAATGTAATATATGATATAAAGCAATATATGAAAAATATTTAAGATGTAATATATGATATAAAAAAATATGATATAAAAAAATATTTAAAATGTAATATATGATATAAAGCAATATATGATTTAAAATGTAGCAGTATAAAATACTTTAAACAAAAAATACTTTAATAAAAGTAAAATCACAGTTTTAAAAAATTTTTTTAGTGTACTTCTACTTTAAAAAGTAAAAAGTAAAAAGTTTTTAAATCTGTAATTTTTTCTTTTAAAAAGTAGAAATGCACTAAAAAAACTACTCAATTTGTAGTTTTTTTTGTGCACTTCTACTTTTTTTTACTTCTAAAGAGGTAAAAAATAACAAATTGTATTTACAGTGTTACTACCAGTAGTACGAGTAAATAAAATATTTTATTTTTTACCTCTGCATGGTGTGTTTGTGTTTTAGAGTATTGGGACATCCTTAATTGCAGGTTTTAATATCTTAACTGCAGGTTTTAGTACCTTAACTGCAGATTTTAATATATATGAAAATACTGCATATTTTCTATTTTTTTAAATTAGTGTGAAAGAGCAAGTTGTTTTAACCAAGATGGTTTTTTAATCTTATTACAGAAATTGTGAGTGTACTTTATTTCTTCCCTCGGGCGTTCACTGCTTGTGTGTGACCATTCGGCGAATTTTATATGCCAAAGTTTTTAAATAAGATGGTTTTTTAATCTTATTACAGAAATTATTGATGCATGCTAACACCTAAAAAGATTTTTTATTGTGACATGACCAGTTTGTTAGCAAATATAAATGTTATATAAATCAGGTCAAATAAAGACTGTTATAGGAAATTGTCAGGTTGGAGTTGTAATTTATCTCACGCTGGTGTTTCCTTGGGAAAAAAATAGTGTTTGCTTTCATAAGATCCGGACTAGGTGGATGACTACTAAAATTTTTACAAGATAGCTTTTTTTTAATTGGTATAGTTTTTAATTGTCTCTATAAGGTAATATTGTTGGCTTCTTATTCTTAATGGTATTACAGTTACTCAAATAATGGTTGATATATAATGAAAAATAAAGTGGTGTTGTTGTGTCTCTTGCCACATAAAAAGTAAAAACTTTGGAAAAGTAATTACTTATCACCACTTTTTTTCTCTTTTTTGAATGTGACCAGTAAATACATTTTTATTTCCTGAACTATTGCTGACTGTTTACAAGCTGTTCCAACTGATATTGGTTTATGATTGTAATCATAAACCAATATCAGTTTAATTGAATTGATTTATTAAAATCAATTCCTATAACTTTATTTGATTTGTTTGTAACAAAAAATTTTTATAAGTTTAATTATAAGATTATTAGTTTATTATCCTAGAAGATGCTAACTTTGCAATGGATTGTATATATATATATATATATATATATATATATATATATATATATATATATATATATATATATATATATATATATATATATATATATATATATATATACATATATATATATATATATATATATATATATATATATATATATATATATATATATATATATATATGTATATATATATATATATTTTCTATAAGAGATCAGTAATAAGGATAAGTTGGTGACAGACATGTGGTAGAACACCCAGCTCACAATCATGAGGTTCCAGATTCAAATCCATCCTACACGTCTTGAAGTACAGAGTTTAACTTTTTTTCTCTAGTTAAATAAAATTCTAAAACATGTAAATAGTCATGTTCTCAACTGTAGTGGCTTTGGAACCTTATGGAAGAGAATTTAATATTTAAAAAAAACCCTTAAAGGACATAAAATAGAGGACATAGTAATAGCAATTCCATTCATAAACATAGACACATTAACAATTTCGTGAGTTTTGTTTGAGTTAAAACTAAAAAATCTAAATGAAAGTTAATATCTGAGATAAAATAAATGCTTCACTCATAATTTGTCTTCATAACATTAAATATAAAGATATATGGAAAAGTTATCATAAATTTTAAATATCTTGGTATTAAATTTGAAACAAAATATCTAAATGCAAGAAAACTTGTGGGTGTATTACTTTAATCGTTTAACTTTTTTTACAGATTTTTATTGAATACCCTTTATAAAATTTTATTAATAAACATGAAGCTTGAAAAAGATGGTAGTTTAGTCTTCACCAAATCAGAAATAATATTGTTTTTTAATAAAAGTTTCATTATAGTAATTATGTTATTTATTATAGTAAATTTATATGAATTTTATTATGTTAAAAGTAAAAAGTTGAAATACTAAATGTATACTTGTATTTGTGCAACTATCCTATTTCCTTTAACTTTCATTACCAGCAATTACTTGAACAAAACAAACAACAACAGTAAGAAAAATATCAAATTAAAAAAAAAATCCTAATCTTAGTTGTTAACCCCTGCTTTCTAATCTGATTTGTTTAGCCGGGGCTGGGGTTGTAAAAAGCTTTGTGTTTAGCTAGGGCCTTTGTCACTTACTAGATGTAGAATAATATTTTGTTACTTGCTAGATGGTTTTTGTTTTCATAAGTCATAATGTTGATGATATAGCCTGATATTTTGTTTAGATCAATCCTGATAATGCAACATGATTTTTTTAATTGCACAATAATACTGATTATAAGTTATAATTTTTTTGTGTAGGTCATAATGCTGATGATGTAGCTGAAACTGTGCTCATGAATAGTAAGTTTAACATTAAAAGTGTTTTAAAACTAGTTAAAGATTATAATTTTCCTGTCATAAATAATGATAAATACAGGTATTTAAAAGTATATAAGTATTAGTAAGTAAGGGAAATCAGAATGTTACATTACTATATTAAAGAAAATATAATATTTAATATTTTAAGAAAAATTTAATAGTTTAAAATGTTTTTTTTTTTTTTTTCTGTATGTATAAAAAAGTGAAGAAATATAATTTTGAATATATGCATATATCAAAATGCAGTGATCAAAAAGTTAGACTAAAAATTTAGGTATTCTAAAAACTTAGAATGATACCTACAGTTTCTTAGTTACTTGTGATTTTAAAAAATGTCTTTTTTTCTTTTTTTTTTTTTTTGTAAATTTTTACTATGGTTTATTTTTTACCAATGCCTCAGAACACAATATATAAAATATATAAAAATAACAATGTATATAATAGTATATAAAATATCACAAATAAAGAAAATAGTTTGAAGTATTTTATTTTAAAAAGAAAAAAAGTATGTACCAAAATCTAGACCATTAGTTTATACCAAGGCCTTCTTAAACAGGCCGCGACAGCTCATTTTCCGTAAAATTAGCGAAGGCCGACTTTTTTACGGTTAAAATTGTTTTTTATCTTTGCTTTTGTAAACAAACTTCAGAAACAAATAAAAAGCTTTATTAGGACAAAACATTTTGATTGAATTTCGAAAACAAATATTGTAGGAATTTTTTTTACGTTTAGAAATAAGTTAATTACAATAAAAATTTAAGGAGTTTAGCTAAAAATGACTAAATCTCGTTTTTATAACTATATGTTTATTTTAGCTGTTTAACACTTGTAATACAAATAATAAATTTTTTGATAAAAACAAACAAATATATTAACTTTATTTTATTAAAATTATTTTGACTTTTTTGACTCAAAGTATTTTATTTTGAAATTAAAAGTTTTGCTTGTTTTATTAAACGTTCCTTCCCAAAATCTTCAGAGTGTTTTTTACAATAATTGTTGAAAAAAAATGTTTGCCAAAATGCAGCAAACTTTTTTAACACTTTGAACAAGCAATTGAAATTTACTATTGCAGTTAATAAAAATGTCAATTAATCCTTTCTTGCACAGCAATGGTGAAACTTTATTCACAAGTGTCACTTCAAATATAAAAAAACAATAAAAAACAAAGTAGACTAAATTGTCAGAAGGTTCTCTTAGTCTTCCCCTATTCAAAGAACTAATCAAAGTTCCATATTTTTGAAACATATCAAAGCTGTCTGTTTCTTCTAAAATTGAATGTAATTCTGGAAGTTTGTAAGCAATAAAACCTGCAATATATAAAAGTCCTTGTTTGCATTCATTTGGCAACTAATCCTCACAATTTTCACATATTGACATAATAAACTCCACATCAAGTTCACACTTATCACAGTGGTGGTGAGCAGGAGGAAATATTGTAAAATCTGTATGCTTGTCTAGCAACTTTCTAGTTTTGCCGATTCTAAATTTTTGAATAACATTTTGCACAGTTATCAGATATGTGCCACCTGACCCTTGCCGATATTTCCTAAACTGTTTTTCTAGTACATCTGATTGCATATGTCCTAACAATACATAAGATACACCACAATTCAACAAATACTTGGCACAGCTTGCTAATCTTTTAGAAGTTTTTTTGCAAACACTTGCAGTATCCATTGTTAACTTTTTCTCTCTTAATTTTGAATTTACGCATTTCAAATTTTCAGCAAAATTTGAAATATAGTTCTCTAAGAAATCTATTTGCCAATCATTAACTAAAGTAATAGGCTTTCTTCGAATATCATTTAATCTAATATCTAGACCTTTTGCTTTACTGTTGACAATAAGCCATCACTTAACAACTGTTTCAATAAAAAGTGCAGTATATTCAGCTTCAGGAAATTTTACACGTATTGCTGCAACTGTTTCATCACAAAAAACTTTAAGAACTAATCCAACATTTTGTCGTTCAATTGGTTTTGGTGACACAGCTTTTTGTGTTAAGGGTGACAACTTAACTATTCGACTATCTGCAGCATGAAGTTGAATTATAAATTTCCATTCTGCAAGTCGCACAGTATCGTTATCATTTAGCAATCTATATTTTAAACATTGTAATTTTTCAGTGATCCAATTATTTCGAATACATTTTAAAATATGCACAGTGTCATTTAAAAGATAGTATGCTGGAACTTTTTTTGCATTAAAATATTGAAATGTTTTTTGGTTTACTCGATAGTAATCCATTATTAACCAAGAGGTTTTCCACCTGCAATTATGATTTGTTGATTTAATTCTTCTATCACACTTGTTTGAAAATTTGTTGTAACTTTACAAACTGGAAAAACTTTTATAACAAGTCGTGGGCCACCAAAAAGACAAAGGAGCATAAGTGCTAATGGTGTATTGTTTGTTTTATTTAATAAAGCTACTTAATGCCTTATATAACTTGCTCACTTAGAATCTGTTTCATTATTAATAACATAACTAACAGCATTCTCCAGTTGAGAATAATATTTAATAACTCCTTTGTTTAAAAAAGACAGTTGAATTTGTAAAAGTTGGCTATATCCAGTAAAATAAATATCTCCAGAATCTTCTAAAGTTATATATATTGAAAACTTAGGTACTGGTCCACAATGTTCATATGATATTAAAGATGTATTTTTTTCTTTTTCAACAAAATAAAATTTTTCTTCACAGTAATTTATTATTGACTTCAAATTTTTTACAATTGTATTAAATTGAATAACGTCCATTTTTTTGAAGTTTTCGAACTCATCAGGTAAAATATTTCTTTCACTGAAAGAAATATATTGAAATATGAAAGAACCAGTGAAAAGTTTGGGTTGATATGCTCTGAAAGTTTCAGAGCATATCAACCCAGTCATATCAACCCAGTGACATCTCGTTTTCTAGACACTATTGGAATACAAGACACTGGTATACCTTTAAAGACTGATGGAGGATGCACTGGAACAAAACTACCACCTTTGACTCTTTTTAATTCTGCATCTTTAGGCCAGTGTTGAGCACAAATTCGCTTATAATCTGTAAACACAAAGTTTGCATTTGGAAGTTTTTTAATCCATAACTCGCGATCCCCGGATTTAAAGGGGAATCTATACATTGTGACATTAACATTATCTTTTACTTTTGATTTGTAATTTGAGGAGCAACCATAAACGCAGCATTTATTAGGCATTTTACGAGTTTAACTATTATAGTTTAAATCAAACAACCGAAATCCTTATTGAAACTATACTTCTCCGTAAAAAAAATCGGCCTTCGCTAATTTTACGGAAAATGAGCTGTTGCGGTCTGTTTAAGAAGGCCTTGGTTTATACTCAAGATTATTTATAAGACAAGTTAATAAAGTATGTGACTACCTTTGCTATCTATGCAAAGTCTATATCTTCTTTTAATAGTGTCAAAAAATTTTCGACAATATTCAAGCAATAAACCATCATAAAACTTTGAAACTTTTTCTTAGTTCTTTAGCGGAAGTTATGGGAGATTTAGTCAGTTTTCAGTTTAGCACAACCTATACATTTTCGATTGGATTTTGTTTTCTTTAAACCAAGCTGTTACTGTTTTTGTATTGTGATATTATCTTGCTGAAATGCCCACTCAGACTTATCTCCAAAAAGTAGGTCTTCTGTTTGAGTCAAATAATTTTCAAGTGTCTGAATGTATCTATATTGGTTCGTTCTACCAGTGTACAAGTAGCATAGTCCTAGTCTATCATATGTGATACAATCCCAGATCTAAACCGAACACCCTCTTCTATGTAATCAATGTACAATGAAACAGATATGAAACTTCTCATTATGGTGTCTTTCAATTATTACTCCATTTTTTCTATTAAGAACCATATAATGTGATTTATCGCTAAATTTTTTTAGCGATAAATCGCATACAAATTGCTCATCTTTTCATGCAATATTGTAGCTGTTTGAGCCAATTGGATCGTTTAAGCATTTTTTTGAGCCAATAGGATCGTTTAAGCATTGGTTTGAGCCAATAGGATCGTTTAAGCATTGGTTTTCTAGATGCAGTACAGAAGCATAGTTTATGATCAATTAATTTTCTATTTACTTTATTTTTAAGAGCTAGATTTTTTTACTTGAAAAATTTATTTGGCACTATATTTAGAATTTTTTTGACAGTTCTGTATATTATCATCAGTAATAATTTTTTTTCTTGGACTTCCTAGTCTTCTGGATCTGATTTTATCTAATGTGCTACCTGTTTTATTCCAATTAGCTATTGTTTTAGTGACACATGAATGCTTTATGTTCTTGAGAATCAATTGAATTTTTCTTGTTGAAAGCAAGGCGCAAAGTAATAATTTGTTCTTTGATTTCTTTTGAAACTGATATTTTACTCATTTTCTAAATACTTAGGTAAATATTTGGTAAAAATGGTATTTTTTGATTAGCATGCACTAACAGTAGTTTAATTTTTAAATGGATTTAAATGTAGTATTTTACAGAATATAACATTAGAATTATAATCTTTAAAAAGTTGGATACTTGTATAGAAATTAAGATTGAAAAAAGTCTAAATTTATGAGACACATTTTAATGTGTTTTAAAATGCTGCTATTATTAAAAAATAGTAATAATAACCTAATAATAATACAATAAAAAATGCAAACTAATGGGTTAGATAAAAAGGACCAAATAGGTTATATAAAAAGTGTATTTTTTTGAATTATTTTGTAACAAACTAATTAAGTTTAATTTTAAAAAGTTTACTTGAAACATCCTAATTAATTTTTATTTTTATTTTAAAAGTTAAGCTAAATTTTTCTGAGTCTTTTTTGATCGCTGTTGTATACATACATGCATACATACATACACATACATACACGAACATACACATACATACATACATAAATACATACATACATGTATGTATGTATATATGTATGTATGTATGTATGTGTGTATGTATGTATGTATGTATGTATCTATGTATGTATATATATATAAATAAATTGGTAATTTAGTTCTTCGTGGTGATATTGCTCGACTTCAAAGATGCACAGCAATAAAAACTGTATGTAGATGTTTTGTTTACAAATGTAATATTTTTATATCAAAACAGAAGGCATCAAAATAGAGAATATGAAATCTGAAAGATAAATAGTTGTTTAGATCAACTAGTTAATGAAAATATAAATATTTTCTTTAATTAACTATATTTTTTTACAAAGAGCATTTTTATTTTAGGCATTTTGCCTAATATATCACTATTACTTTTTCAACAAAGTTTTCACTGTTTTAATTAATGCTACTATTAAGTTATTAAGCATAAAATGGTTTTGGTTTCTATTATAAACTACTACAGGTAAAAAAATATAAAATTTAGTTATAATTACATGATAGATTTAGTAGCCTGAAATTTTAGAATAGATTAGAATAGTTAGAGAGCTCAGATGGTTAAGTGTTGAATAGAGATGATATTATTTTATATAAAAAAGGGTTTTTATTGCTAAACAGTAATTTTATTTAAATAATGCAATTAGAAATCATTGTTGCAGAGTTATACAATATCAGTTACTCCAATTCTTTTTTTGTACTTTTTTTTTTTAAACCAGATTTTTTCATTGCAGCTATCGTTTTTTGGTAACATTGGCAGGCATCTTCTTTCTCTCTATTCTCTCTATTGCTACAAATATTACATTTTGTCCTTGGTCTTTAAAGATATCTTGAATAAAACAAATTTTTCTTTTGGCACAGTCATTTGTTACTTGCATATTTTTTAAGAACTGAAAGAGAGTTTCTAGAGCCCTCCAAATTATCCCAGCAAACTAAATTCCTCTTAATCCATTAATTAAAATCTTTAAAAGGATTCCGCCTTCCAGACTAACAAGGTTAGAAAGTGTCAGATTACTGTTTTTTGTGGACGAGCTGCATGTAAATACATCTGGTTTAAAATTAAAAAACAAATTTTTATTATTTCTACCTTGTGATATGAATTAGATCTTTATAAAGCATCTTAATGCAGAGTCTTCAATTTTAAAACTTTTTCTTTTTGTACACTGTTAATATCTTGTGTAAAACTTTCTCTTTGTACACTGTTAATATCCTGTGTATAACTTTTTCTCTTTGTACACTGTTAATATCTTGTGTATAACTTTAAAACTTTTTCTCTTTGTACACTGTTAATATCTTGTGTAAAACTTTCTCTTTGTACACTGTTAATATCCTGTGTATAACTTTTTCTCTTTGTACACTGTTAATATCTTGTGTATAACTTTAAAACTTTTTCTCTTTGTACACTGTTAATATCTTGTGTAAAACTTTCTCTTTGTACGCTGTTAATATCTTGTGTATAACTTTTTCTCTTTGTACACTGTTAATATCTTGTGTATAACTTTAAAACTTTTTCTCTTTGTACACTGTTAATATCTTGTGTAAAACTTTCTCTTTGTACGCTGTTAATATCTTGTGTATAACTTTTTCTCTTTGTACACTGTTAATATCTTGTGTATAACTTTAAAACTTTTTCTCTTTGTACACTGTTAATATCTTGTGTAAAACTTTCTCTTTGTACGCTGTTAATATCTTGTGTATAACTTTTTCTCTTTGTACACTGTTAATATCTTGTGTATAACTTAAGTTATCTGAATTGTTAAAGTGTGTGTTGCATCGGCTGTGAAAATCTAGATTTCTTTATAATTCTACCAAGTAAGAATATACTTAACTTGACTATTTTGTGGTAACCATCTCTAGCAAAAGTTTCATTTTAAAGTGCACAAATCAAGTAGGTTAGGGCTTCTTTGGCTTTTATATAAAAATTAAACCAGAAGCTAGAGTGCTCCAATCAAAGATAGTTACATTATCAAACCTATTTACCTCATCAAAGATCTCTGGCCAGACCTTTTTAAATTTGATATAAAGTGATTTTCGTGAACCCATAATACCTCTAAACAAAATTTATATATATATATATATATATCTATATATATATATATATATATATATATATATATATATATATATATATATATATATATATATATATATATATATATATATATATATATATATATATATATATATATATATATATCAATTGCAGAGAGCGCAAAACATGGTGAAGTCAATAATAATGGTAAGAGTTGCTTATGCTTTTGTATTTATCTGTGGTATTTAATACCATTGGAAGTGTTTGTATCTAAATTTACTGCAAAAATATGATCTATACTATCATAATATTAAAGAAATGTAAAAAATCTCTTATGCCTGAACTTCTTCCTTGGAATTTTCAATCATGCGAACACCTAACAGAATTTCTTTTGAATCTGGAGCATCTTGAGTGGGTATACTTAATGGCAGTCTATCATTTGTAACAAAGATGTTCTTCTGCTCAAAAATTTGCTTCACAAGTTTAGTGTCAATGTGCAACATCAATCTTTTGCCATTCCACATAATTTTAGATATAAGTATCTGGCATTCCACATAATTTTAGATATAAGTATCTGGCATTCCACATAATTTTAGATATAAGTATCTGGCATTCCACATAATTTTAGATATAAGTATTTGGCATTCCACATAATTTTAGATATAAGTATCTGGCATTCCACATAATTTTAGATATAAGTATCTGGCATTCCACATAATTTTAGATATAAGTATCTGGCATTCCACATAATTTTAAATATAAGTATCTGGCATTCCACATAATTTTAGATATAAGTATCTGGCATTCCACATAATTTTAGATATAAGTATCTGGCATTCCACATAATTTTAAATATAAGTATCTGGCATACATAAAATAGTTACATTATGAGAGTTGAAATTCAACTTTGAGTTACATAAATTAAAATTTAAGACAACAAATTTGCATAGTCAAGTTTTCAAATGTAATATTAAAAAGTATTAAATCAACAGTGTTAACTCTCTTCTTTATTTATTTGTTAACTTAATTATATACGTGATTTTATTTATAAAAGAAAAAGAAAAAAATTATGTTGTCAAATTTGTGCATTAGTCATTTGATTCAATCAAAACAAGTTGTTATTTATATAAAAACTCTGTTATTTGTATTGAATTTTTGTTTTGTTTTGTTTTTAAGTCTTTGTTTTAGTTTTTAACTATGTTTTAAACTTTGTCATTTGTTTTTAAACTATGAGTTTCATTTATAAAAATAAATTTAAAAAAATTTAATAAATATTGTTGGCTAAAAAATTGAGGACCGTAATTTTAATTTAACAAATGGATTGCATTCAAATCTTTGTAAAAAATGTTTTGTATACTTTTAATGATGCACAACTTTCTATATTTTTAGCTCATTAAGCAAATGAAGTTTTGGAAAGCACTTTCCAATGATCTTTTCTACTACATTAACACTTTTTAAGAGGGTACTCAAATAAGCGTAACTATATTGCGTAGCTGGTATATAAAAAAAAAAATCTAAAAAACTCATTGGTTTTTTGAAAAAAATAAATAAAGCCACAAGTAAAAAAATCCAAAACCACAAGTAAAAAACTTATAAGCCGAAGTACAACTATCAGCTAATCTGCACCAACTTTAGAGAGGGATAAAGCTCTAGCATCTGTTGCATACGTGTATTAGAGTTAAAGGAAAATATAATACAAACTAATCTATATAATATAATCTCACATACATTGTTCAGCATCTATAATATATTTATTGTCTTTTTGTTACTGATAGTCTTCTAGACCATTGTTTGATGTTGCGTCTATAGCCTATGTAATATATTCATCTACTCTTTACTCTGTTTTAAAATATAATTTATTTTACCCTTCATTTTATTCTTTTGAATAACCTTTTTTTTTTTTTACCTTGACAAAGATTACACGCTTTTTTTGTTTGTTTTTGTCTTTTTTTATTGTCTAATTTATGCAAGATTACATAATTCTTCTAAAAATAGTATTTGACAGATACCACGTTATACATTACAATACATGTAGACATCCACATTGTAATTATTCTTACAATAATTACTGCTTTATCGCTATTTTTTATTGTCATTTTATTTAATTGTATAAAGACTCAGATCTAAATTTACAGTTATTTAGAGATAGTGTAAAATCTGTTGAGTGGAAAGATGTGTCTGTGTTGGAACTTGCTTGAAAAAAATGCTAGGGCTACTTCTACTTATGAGTAGAGTCTGCAAAGTCATGAGGGAAAAAATTGGTTATTTCTTATTTTTTGCATAAATTTTAAGAAGTTTAAAATTTGCAGCGAGAATTGTTTATAGATAAACACATTATTTCATCAAGAGGTTGCCTATCCTTCAAAGTTTATAATGCTTTGAAAATGACAAAAATGGAATTCTCATAAGAATGGTTTGTGAAGCTAAAACGGGCTATATTTGTAACTTTCTTATATACTGTGGAGAAGGAAGTAAATTACAACAAACAATTTTAAATCTTCTGCAGCCATATTTAAACTTATGGCACCACATATATATGGATAACCATTATTGAAAAAAAGTATTTCACAAGTGTTGACACTTGTGAAATACTTTTACAACATAGATTCCGGACATATGGTACTATTTGCACAAACAAAGGCCTTTTTCTTTAATTACAAAATGCGAAACTGAAAAAGGGGGAATCTATCTTTCATTGTTGGTAAAACATTTTGTTGCAATGTTGGCAATTAAAAAGATCTGTCCGAATGACTTCGATAATACATTCAGCCGATATTGTAGAAAGCCATAATATTGATTGGATGACAGGAAAGAATTTTTAAGCCAATATGCGTAGTTGATTATAGCAAGTATATGAAAGGTGTTGATTGCCCCGATCAATATTTGTTGTATTACACTTTACTACGTTGTACAAAAAAATGGACCAAAAGGGCTGTGATGTTTTTTAATAAATTGTGCACTATTTAATGCGCTTAGGTTTTTTAAAATATTAAATCCAAGTTCAAAAAAAAGTACAAAGTATTTTTACTTAATATAGCAAAATGGAATGGATAAGCGAATTTACTCGAGATAATGAAAATCATTATGTACCAAGTATATCAGCTGCATCTATATATATATATATATATATATATATATATATATATATATATATATATATATATATATATATATATATATATATATATATATATATATATATATATATATATATATATATATATATATATATATATATATATATATATATATATATATATATAAATTGTTTTATTTTTTGAACAGTTTTATTAAAAAATATAAAATAATGTCTAAAAACATAATTTTTAATAAATAAATTATCAAACATCATAAATGAAATATAATAAACATGAAAAAGTAAGTATACAATATATAAAATATACATATAAGTTTAATAACCGAACATTTTTCTAAAACAAAATACATTACTAATAACTATCATTAAATTTTTTGTTGTGCTTTTTCAAATAAAATAAAAAAATTGGGTACTAATACCCCTTCTGCTGATAAACAGCAGTCTGTGCAATGGATACTAATACCCAACCCTCTCAAAAAGTGTTAATACTAATTTTTTTTTGCTTAATGAAATGTTTTGATAACAACTTAAAAATGAGATCAGCAAAAAATTGTTGACCTCACATATTGACTGATCGCAGTTAGATTGCGATTGCAGAACTTCAATTTTAATTCAAAGTATCGTATCTTTAATGGTCATTTCATTTTATAAATTTTCATTTGTGCATTTTTTTTTGTTTTTTTTTTGCTTTTAGTAAATACATTTTATTCCTTTATTTATTTTTTAATTTGTTTTCTTTAATTTAATTGGTTTAAAAAGCAAACACACATTTTTTCCAAAAGATACAATTTAAAACTATAACAATAGAATGTATAGTTTGTACAATTTAGTATGTAAAGACATGTAAAATTAAACCTACCATCTTGTTGTATGACTTACTTAAATTTAGCTGTTTCATCTTTTTTACTTTTAATGGAAAAGATGAGATAAAATCTAATGCTCTTGACATATTCAAAGCTTTTAATATTCTTCCCAAGTAATTTTTATGATGTATACTAAAAAGTTTTCTTTTTTGTACAACATTCTTTTTTTTTAAGTAACCTTTAGTGTACAACAAAGCTTAGGTTTCATTGTTTCTTATCTGTATTTATGATTTTGAAAATCTTACAAATTGAGTGGCTTTATTTACTGATGATGATATCATGGTACCGAATGTTCAGAGATGAGAAATTTCCAATAAATATGTAGACTACATACTTTTAAAATATTTTATTTGATATTTATATTGATAGAATTGATATGATCTTTAAATATCTTTATAAATCTATTCTCTGAGATATAACTACAATTCTCTGAGATGTTGTTTCTTGGTAAGCAGTTTTTTAATGTAGTTATACCTACATGGTACATACACTGGAGACTAATTGTGCCAAAACATTTCTTGGTAAGTTGGTAAAGTGTAAAGTTAGACATTCTTTTTAGCCATTTTTATTTTAAAAGTTTTAAGTTCTTAGTAGTATCTTAACTACATTGTCATATAATTATGACAATAAAGTAAGATAAGCCTTTTAAAATTTTTCATACAATTATTGTAGATGTTTATATGTTGTATCATCCGCTAGCATGGTGTTAATTTTCTCTTTGTAATCCATCTTGTTTAAGATTCAGATGCCACCTTCTTTTTTGGCTTGCTTGATAATGTTATTATTTTTCAGTGATAGCTTTCTTCACATCTTGGATTAGGTTGGGGTAATATACCTTACTATTATCGTACTATTATCGTACTATTATCATATTATTTATTATCATATTATTTTCGGTTTTTATAGCTTTCTTTTTATTTTTGTATTGTTATTGCTAGTATTTTACTGCCTGTGTCCTTGTGTATAACATATTTTGTGTATTTTTTCCAATATCCCTTCTTTTTTCCTGATAATAATGGTGTTGCATAACTTTGAGAGAGGTTTTGGTGTTTATATTTTTTGTAGTAAGGTCCGTTTTATTGCAATTTAACTTTAATGGTGTTGGCTACAGGCTATTATGAATATAGCTAGGACATATCTCTTATCAGTGATGCTAGCCAATTTTTACTACGCTCTTCGAAACTTCATTTGTGTCACTGAGGTTGAAGTTTCATGTGCATTAATTCACCATTAATGTTCACTTAATTCACTTAAATTAACTAATTAGTTCACTTAATTCTAATTGGATTTTACAGCACTAGTATTTTTCATTATTTTATTTTTATTTTAGTTCACTTAATTCTAATTAGATTTTACAGCACTGGTATTTTTTATTATTTTATTGTTTATATATTTTGGTTCCTGGAAATCTAGAAAATTCATTAATGAAATATTTGATTCAAAATCGAATCAAGTTAAAATTTATAAAGTTTTATTTGGGGAGGACTGATGCTCTCAACACCCATCTGATAACACATCCATAGTGTATTATATAAGTCAGAATTAAATTTTTATTGAAGATGAGAGGAGGGGGAGTGCTTAACTACTCAGTTATATACCCAAGTACACATCTGTAGCACCATGCAGGTAAAATCTGATGCAATGGTCGTATGCAACAACTCAATATTCATCTACTTTCATTATAAATTTTATTTGAATAAAACAAGTTTTTGTAAAAATTAACTCATATAAACAATTTCAAAATAATGAAATGTATTTTAAAATTTCTTGGACTAATAGAATAAAACAAAATGATATTAATGATACATGTAAATTGAATTTTTTATTGAATTGAGGGATTTTAGACATAACTTATGGTTGTTTTTAGTTTATCCCAGATTCAAAGCATTAATTTAAATGTTTGTTATGTGTTAGATCCCTTTTTAGAAACAAAGAAACATTTATTTTATCAGAAGTCAGAGTAAAAAGGTTTATCTCTTGAATGATGAGTTAGAATTTTATGTACAATTTAAGGCATTGGTAACCATGGGTACTAATAAACATACACTCTGCTGTTTCTTTGGTGTATTTTTCAAGTTCATCAGCGTTAATTTGAGGTTTTCATGATAAAACACAAAGTATTACGTAGAAACATTTCATGAGATTTTTATCTAAGCTAAGTATTTCAGCAGACTTATTGTTTCAGACTTATTGTTTGGTGCCATCTTTCCATTATTTGTTATTCCTGATCGTGTTTCCATCATTTGTTGTACCTGAACAGCTGCTTTTTGGTACATCTACAATTCTAAGTAATCTTTCATCTTTTGTTGAACAATAATCTTTTTTTTTAAAACAATTTCTTTAGCATCCTCTCCCCTAACTTGCCACTTTCCTAATTTAATTCTATAACTTATATGAAGGCCACATTCAAAGCATCTAATCTATGCATGTAATGTGCTCAATCCAAGCTCAGTGGAAACTGTATTAGAGATTTTTGAAAAAGCAACATTTAGTTTGTTCATATTTGAAAGGGTCAGTCCACAAATACTACATACTTGAAAAAAATTCCTTAAAGACAGCTATAGTAGCCACTTTTCCATCAATCATTGTGCATTCTAACTTATGTCTGATAATAAAGGAATTAAAGATTGTTGGTTTTAAATTACTGTTCTTTAAGGAATTATTTCTTGTGTAATAACCTCAGCACTTTTTTTTACATGTTGAGACATTTTACATGTTGAGTATTAAAGTGTAGAGAATGATTTTTTATTAGTCCTTAGTGATTTGCCAAATTCGTTAATATAAAAATTAATTGGAATGATGAAGGATGAAAATAAAGATTGTTCCTCAGCATAACTGATACTTATCTCGTCTTTCGTATTTTGTTTGTATGATGATTGGACACTTGAATTGAATAAATAGTACACAATTAAATAGTAAAAAATATCATCATTCCATTACTTTAATTTTTATGAAATATCATACTTAAATTGTGAGAAAAAGTAGGAAAAGCCAAGCCCGAGTTTTGGCCCTTGTCTAGTTTATCTGTTTCAAAACATGCATCACTTGTTTGTAGTTCTTTTTCTAACCAGATTTTGTGATGCAACTCAAATCTTTCCATATGTCTGTTTACTTTATTCCATTTTCTGTTAAATTGTTTGGAAAGTAATTTGAAGTCTATGTCAGAGATCCCTGTAACATTATAAGCATCAGGGTCAGTAAGTTATTTTCCAAAGCATGAACCAATTTTCGAGCAATTTCTTTATTTTTCATAATGATTGGTAGATAAAAATTTCAATTTAAAAATATAATTTTAGTTTTTTTAAAGTTTTTAAATAGTATTTGTATTTTAGATAATTAAAAACACAATCAATAATTAACCAAAATAATTTTAAGTTTATAAATAAAAAAACCACATTACTTAATAAAGTGGAATCACATTAAACTTATTGCTTTGTTTTAGTTTTATTTTATCAAATTTATTTTGTTTATTTTAGTTAGCCAAATAGTTTGAAATAACTTAAAAAATAATAGTTTGAAATAGTATAGTAATAGTTTGAATAAACTTGTGTAAAATAAAAAATGTTTAATTTTGTATGGTTTGCATGATTTATTGTTTGATATGGTTTTAAGGTAGAAAAAAATTAAATGTGGTAATAGTCAATAGAAATAAAGTGCATTAAAAACTCTTTGAATTTAATGAGTTTTGATTCAATAATTTTGTCTATCATGTTGATTCAAATAAACACTTATCATTATTTACTTTAAATCAATATTTTAATCCAATATTGGTTTAATTTTGTCCATATATATTTAGTCATAATTTGTATTTAATTTAGAGTAATAATTTTTTAATTGGTTAAAGTATTATTCTATTACTACAACAACAATAATTTTATAACAATCTGTTTGTTCATCTTTTTAAAGGGTGTTGATGGCGCATTACCAAGATGCAAGCCGTTTAAATATACATATGAAAAAGAAATAGTTATGTGCGTTAAATTTTATATTTGTTTTTTGTATATACTATAGTATAGTAAGTGATATATATAAATATATAGTATAGTAAATGAAGTATTTTTTTTTTAAGCTTTATTTTAATCAAAAAATTTTAATATATTTTTCAAGTTATTTTTCAACTGTCAAAACTTTTTTGCTTTAGGTATGCATATTTTAAGAAGCTGGACTATTTCACTACTGAGTGCATATATTCACCTAATGCATACAGGTTAAATTTTAATGTTTAATGTTTGGCATGTCCAAAGATTTTAGACATGTTTGTTTCTAAAAATTTGTTCCTGTAAATTTCAATACATAAAAGTAAGTTTTTGCATTGTATATTAAGTTTTTGAGCTGACCACAAATTACATTACTGTTTTTGAGCTGACCACAAATTACATTACTGTTTTTGAGCTGACCACAAATTACATTACTGTTTTGATTGCACAATAAAAGTCTGATAAAAAGCTCGTAAATAAAAAATGTGTTAAAAAGGATAAAGATATAATATTAATATGGAAAATTGAATTGTTAAAAACATAACCTTTGTTTGAATAAATTAAAAAATTTTAAAATGAGGTGGTGTATTTTTTTAGATTAGAAATTATTTTTGTTTTATAATTTTATTTAAGGTTCATAACAATGAACCTCAGATAAAATAACCGATGATTAGTTGCACTGAATTTAATAGCTTATCAAGTTTCATCCGCCAACAAAAAATATGAGTAATAATTTTTTTTGTAAAAAGTAAGTTATTTTTAAACTGGTTCTTAGTGAGCTTAAAGAAGCCAATTTTTCCAAACTTCTAATTTTGTAAATTTCCTTCTAAAGAAAATTTTGAAAAAAACTGGAGTACAAGTTTGATCAATTGATTTCTGTCATTTAGTGCTTACAAAAGTGTTGGAAAAAAGTTTAAAGTCTAGAAAAATAATGTAAATTAAGAAATAAAGGAAATATTAAAGCTAGAAAAGAAAAAAATTCTCAGATTTTGTGACTTCAACAAGTTTGTGATAATTCATCACTTTTGCCACTAATTGCATACTCTATTGAATATGCACTGAAGGCCATATTCAAAAGAGTTGCAGATATTATTATATGACAAAAATATGACTGGTATTTCAAAGTTTTTAGAATGCCAAGAAGCAAAAAAGGGTTTATAAAAAAGTCAACCAAAGATCAACCAAGATCAATAGTCCAAAAATCGACCAAAAATCAAAACTGAGTGACTTTAAGGTCAGTGAATTTCTTGATATTGCTGAGAAAGATCTAAGAGATGCAGAATTTATTCTTTCTAACCCTTAGAGAAAATTCCAATTAAAGTATCAGTAAAAAGCTCTCAAAAGTTACAGTATTTGTGTCAGTTCAATGTTTATCAATTGAATAAAATTTTTATTTCAGTAACTAAATGATATGACTGTGTCAAGTATCAACTGTATGTTGTGAAAAACAATATGCATGGAAGAAAATAATTGATTAAAACTGACTACGAGATTAGCAAATGCAAAATAGTTTGAAAACCAATAACTCAGTTATTAAAAGTAAATAGAATTATTTTTATCAACTTCCTTTCCAATCAGTCTGTACAATCAGTCTGTACAATCAAGTCAAACAATCAAGTCAAACAATCAGTCTGTAAAAACTCTGATAAACAAAAATAATAATAAGTAATCTTTCCACTCTAGATGGTACAGTATAACTACCTAAAATGTTTTGACATCTGATAAATTGTTTCATTAGTAATTACTTAGCATGTTTGCACTACATAAGCGAGCTACAGAGTTGCCCATAGTAAAAGATAACATATTTTCATGTATTGTCAACTTACTTTCTGGGGCAAGTGTATATATATATATCAGTAATGGACACCCATAAAAAAAAAAATTATATGACTTTTTTTTTTTTTTGAAAAGATCAAAATATGTAGAAATAAAGACACAAAAATTGACTCGTTTTAAAAAAGATAAAATGTTGTTGAAAGCTTTTTAAGAGTTTTTTTTTAAATATCAACTATGATAAAATCAGAGTTTATTATTTACTACAATTAAGCAATAAATTGCCTTAATAATGCGGGTTTTTCCAGGGTTTATACTTCATATTTGATTAAATTAAAAGAGTAAACTGCACTTTTACACTGCCAAAAAAAATAAGACATAACTCAAAAATTGAGTGACTACAGAGGTCTAACCCAATGAGCAATCTCCTTGACAACTCATAATTAAACCAATTATACTCCAATTAGACAAACTCTTTAAAAAGAGCCTGGTAGGTTTTATTTAAATGGTATCCAGTGGTCAGAAATGCTTTAAAGTGAGAAATTATTTTTAAAATATACTTAACATACTTGATTTCTATTCCTTAAAAGTTTTTAAAACTTTAAAAAAGTATGCACATCATTTTTTGTTTGTTGCTAAATTAGTACAATTTATCATTTTAAAGTAACCAAGGTAGAAAAAACTAAGTGTATTTGTATTAAAATATGTTTTACTTTTACTAAAACATAATTTTGTAGATATATTAGTTGCAATGTTTATTATTCGGTAATTCGTTTGAAAGGAATTAAATCAAAACCGTGTGAAAGTAATGTCAGATTGGTTTCATAAGTCCCCAAATCTTCTTATTTAAATGCAGAAAATGAGTATAAAAATATGTTGTTTTTTTATTTCAAAATGTTATCACATTTTCAGGTTTATAGAGCTAATAAACATTTTTTAATATGAAATATTTCTTGCTTAAAAAATTTTGATGTTTGCAAATTATAGATGTTAGAAAATGAAAACAATTAATTCGCTTTTTCAAGCATTTCTAATAACTTTGGGAGAAACTACATCAAAAAATTTTAAATATTGAGACTAAGCAAAGTAGCACAAAATAAAAAAGTATTTTTTATCTTAAGATATTTTTTATCTTTTTAAGATAAAAAAACTTATCTTTAATTATAAATTAATAATAATATCTTCAAGTTAAAACAGTAACACCATCACAAAAATTTACAAAATTGTAAAGAGTATAAACAAAGAGTTAAAGTAATAGTTGTTTTTAGGAGATTTTTTCTTTAATCATTTGCATTACTAATAGGTACAAGCAAATCCACTAGCATCTATCTATCTTTTTTAGAAGATTGCTTTTTTTTTTAATCATTTGTATCACTAACATGTACAAGCAAATCCACTAGCATTTATCTTCAACTTCACAATACAACAACACAAATCATTTTGATTAAAGTTTTGTATTTAATTTCAACTTTGCCAAGTACATTAATTTTAGCTATTTACTAAGCAATGCACAGTATTTTTAATTTAAAAAAATATATTCAAGGAGATTGGTTTATTTAAAATTAAAAAAACTATTATTTATATTGTATGCAAAGAGATTAGTTTATTAGAAAAAATGTTAAAGTTTCTATTATATCCAAAGAGATTATATCCAAAGAGATTGGTTTATTAAAAAATTAAAAAACTGAGGCATTCACAAATAAACGATGTTTAAGGTCAGATATGTTGTTAAAAAAGTCTGTTGTCGCGATATCAAGGAGGTTGCTTATTTGAATAAGACCTCGGTAGTTGCTAATTAATACAAATAATAATGTCATGTTTTTTTGATGGTGTAAAGTTGTTGTTTATTTTCTTTCTTTTATTTTATTCAAATGTGAAAATTATTTTTTGAATTTTAGCTGAACTTTATCTAAAACTTTAAAAAAATTGTCATAGAAAGTTTTAGAGACAGGGAAATTGTTTAATTGATATCCATAAAATAACTTCAAATTAAGATGTTTTCCCCATTTTTATCTAGTCAATTTGATGCACATTTTTAAAAAGTAAACTTCCTAATCAAATCTAAAATCATAATTAGGTCTTTTAGATTTTTTTTAATTTTACTCCCATTTTTTTAAACTTTTTAAATGTTTAGAGGCCATGCAAGAACGTTTTTGAAAGATTTAGAAGCTATTAGACCAAGTTGCATTATTGGTATTACAAGCCATTAGTTCTTTACTTTAAGATATATGTTATTTATTATTTTTTATAAAAAAAAAGTTTTTAAGAAAAAATAAATTCTTTTTCAGATATAATCCACTCTGGCGAGAGTATGTCTGTTAAAAAAGAAGTGAGAATGCCTACTCAAGGTATTTTTACTTGAATTACTTATCTTTCTGTATTTTAAACATCACTATATTTTATCATTTTTATTTATATTTTATCATATTTTATTTTTTTATATTTTTATATTTTAGATTTTATCATATTTATTTATATTTTATCATATTTTATTTATATTTTATCATTATTATTTGTTTTAATAAATAGTTTGAAAAAAAGTGTTTTAATAATGTTAGTTAAATGACACACAACAGTTTATATGTAAGAATTCGTATATTTTTGATTATTTATAAAAGTAGAAATAGAGTATTAGATGTTAACAACAAAAGTATAATATGGGGATGAGTTTCCAAATTGTTTCCAAAAACAAACAGTTTCCAAATGGTTTCTCATCCTCAGAACTGCTAGACTCATGTTGCGGAATAAAATGTTTTTGCCTTGTCTTAAATTAGATCAAAATTCATTAATTAGAATTATAACCTGCTTAATAGAGGATGATTTATTTAAACTGAAAAAATTTGGCACAAACAAACCATTTTGCTTTGCTCTACCACCTATATAATAACGCTGAACTTAATAGTAGTAGTAGTAGTAGTAGTAGTAGTGGTGCTCTATCAAGCATGTTTGACACAGAACTCTTGGCCGCCATTGCAACCAAGTAATGGTGAGAAGAGTGGCAGCACTTTTTTTATAAGAAAATGCAAATATTTAACTTATATAAACTGCAAACTAAGTAATGTTAAAACATATTTCAAGTTTTACTTTCACTTGAAAATTACATTGCAGGTAACATCTACTTAATTTGCAGGTAACATCTACTTAATTTGCAGGTAACATCTACTTAATTTTGATCTATTGCATTTATTTTATAAAGTCTTTTGTTTGTTAGTTTTAAAATCTTAGTCAGACAATAAGCCTGTGTGGCCGAGTGGTTAGCTTGCAGAGTTTCAGTAGCAAATTCTACCACTAAAACCATTTTTTTTCAATTAATTTTTAATTTTTTTTTTATTACACTTTTGAAGTTTTATAGATACATAACGTATGTAAAAATATTATACACTGTGAAAAACGAAAGGGAGACAATTTTTAAAAATATTATACACTGTGAAAAACGAAAGGGAGACAATTTTTTAAAATATTATACACTGTGAAAAACGAAAGGGAGAGAATTTTTTAAAATGCTTAGAATTTCTTAAAACATCCAAACACTGGTAGAAATTTGCTACTTTGAAACGCATGGCTGACGACATTGATTTCAAAGTGGAGGGGCATATAATCATCAATTTCTTAAAAAAATCTCCAAATCTAGAAATTTCTTTAAATAAAAAAAAAGGGACTTTAGAAAGTGTCATCAGCTCTGTAATGTGCTCAGTTAATTAGTCCTAATAAGCTGCAGGTGGTCTAAAAAAAAACTAGGACATAAAAAGAGGATTTTCTTTTTATAGAAGGAAGGTGTTTCCATTCAATTGAGACTTTTTCTTTAAATAGATAAACCGGGTAAGAGATCTAATATGCTCTAAGCATATAAATAAAGTGGGCATTTTTTTTTTTTTTGCTTTAATACCAATGTTTGAATGAATTATTTTTCTACCGTTTATTTAAAAAACATTAAAGTAATAAAGAATAGTTAAATAGAATAAATAAGAAATAAAGGATAGATAAATAGCTGAATAAGTATAAACTAGCAATAAGCAACCCGTAATACGCGTTGTTAGTAAATAAAATTAAAAAAAAAACTGCGTTTAGAAAAGCCTAGAAACTATTTTTAAATAGAAAAGCCTAGAAAATGACGTAACTCTACTAATAATAATAATAATATTAAATTAGCGTATTCATATTATCAGATATAAAGGTAGGTGTGGTCTCTTAGACCCGTATTTTACAGGTCATAACAGCTAGTATGTATATATTGTCACTTCAAATGTATTAACTATTGTATAAAGTGTTTGCATAGTAACCCTTATAGTTTATTCAATATGTGGCAACTACATATTGAATATGTGGCGGACACATTGAATATATTGCATCACTTCATCAAAGTTTATCAATCAAAATTTTTTTTATTTTCATTTTTTTGATGGTGCTTGTTTGTATGTGATTTAAATTTTGTTTTATGAATAAAAAAAATCAGTAATACTTTCAACGCATCAGTAATACTTTCAACGCATCAGCAATACTTTGCAATGAGTTTTGCAATAAATCAATAAAGTACTTTGTGTTGCAATAAAAAAACAAGATGACTAAAAAGTATTTTCTGAAATTCTAAAGAATTACGACGGAAATGAAAACAAATGTAATCAAATTAACTTGAAAGCAAAGCAAGACTATTTGAACTAAAAGCCAGATTGAAAGCAAACTACTGAGGAGCAGCACTTTTAAAACATTAATTATAAACTGTGAACAAATTATCTTTAAACTATTATGATAAATTGTAATAATGTGTAATAAAAAAGCTTATAATACAAATCAGAATACAAATATAATAACAAAAGCATAAATAAAATAATTTTTTTTTTATGCACACAACTTTCATGAAGTTTTTTTATGCACACAACTTTCACGAAGTTTCAGTTGAAGTGTTGTCTGCAAATTTAAACGGTTGTCTTTAAATATATTTATCTCCAAAAACAAATACACCTAACAGACATGGTAATTCATTATCAATTTGGTTTTTTAATGAATTGTATGTCGCTTTCAAATTTGTTGACTGATGCTTAGATTTTTTTTTCTTTTTTTATACATTTCTTGCTTCACTGTTTTGCCTTCTGTAAAACTTGTATTACTTTGGTGGTAAATCATCTTTTACTTTTTTTTTTTACTTTAGTGATAAAAAAAATCATCTTTTCTTTTGCCTGCTAGTTCAATATCAACAGTCTTGAACAATTTCTTTTTTTTTTTTCTTTCATTTTTCTTCTCAAGCTTTTCTTCACAGGGCTTTTGGCTTGTTTAGTTTTTGAAGTTTTTTGTGACACTAATTTATCACAAGGCTGCTACTGTACTCAATAAAAAAAAGGAATCGGTCTTATGGCTTTTTATGTAACAGATATTGTTAATGGTTGCCTGACCTGCAAAAATAGTTAATCAGGGTCTAATATCAATGCCATTAAAGTTAAACAAAAACTAGGTGTTTAAATTGCATAGATGGCTAAGGTGAGTGGTCACTAGTCAAAGCAAAATTGGCTGCAGTGAATATATTTTAACTTGATGGCTAATTTTCAGTATCAGAGAAACCTTTTGTTGCTATTCCGGTTGTAGCAGCTCTGTAGCTTCTTTAACCAATCTGCCGAATTGAGTTTAATTGATCTGCCTGGATGGATTGTTAATCAATTGTCACTTGATTGTCTGAAGTAAGTTTTAAATAGTCCAAAAAAACAATATTAAAAGGCTGCATCATGTGACCTGGGAGAAGCAGCATGACTATATTACAGTAGTGGCCATTGAACTAAGGCACGTTATGGTTTTTAGATAAATTTAGTATAACTTTGAATGTGCCTCTTAAATATTCAAAGTATTATATGTCAATATCATTAAATGAATCAAATTAAAATATTTTGCATATCTTTGTTTAAAAGACGTCAAAGCTTATTAAAGTTCTTTTTTTAAAGTAAACAGTAAATAAATTAAATAAAGTAAATATGGGTAAAAAGGCAGATTTGAGTGATTTTGTTAAAGGTCAAGTCATAACTTTGCATGGTGAAGGGTACTCACAAGTTGTCATTAATAAATGTCTAGAAATATCGAGATGTGCTGTACAAAACGTTATAAAATTGCAACATTTTTTGCAAAACTACACCCCATGATAATCGATACCTGAAAAGTATTGCGCAAGCCATTCCCCACACTTCCTCTGCCCGAGTTACCCAATTGGTCACGGAAAGAGGCATTAATATTAGTACCAGAAGCGTTCGCAGACGTCTGTCTACAGAATTTAAACTGCATGCGCGTGGACCAGCAAAGAAGCCATTTCTCACCAAGAAGCAGCTTCAGGCTTGTTGTGATATGAAGGACAAAACTGCTGAGTGGTGGACTACTGTGATGTTTACTAAAGAAAGTACTTTCCAGCAGCTTCGTGGTTCAGGGTACAATTATGTTCGTTGACTGGTAGGTGAAAGACTCAACCCTTAATACACTCTGAAGACCGTTAAATATCCGCTATCTGTTATGGTGTGGGAAGCTAAGGGTAGATGCGGAATCCACATCTCAGCTAAGGGTAGATGCGGAATCCACATCTTCGGTAAGGGCAAAAAGGTCAATGCTGCAAAGTATATACAGTTTTTAGAGTCAAAGGTTAAGACACATAAGAACATTTTTGAAACTACCATCTTTCAACAAGACTCAGCATCGTGTCATACTGCGAAATCAGTCAAGAAGTGGTTTCATGACAACGATGTGCAACTTTTGAAAAACTGGCCCTCAAATCCGTTTGATTTAAACGTTATTGAAAATTGTTGGAACTTAATGAAAGCTAAAGTGTCAGCACATCGTCCAATGTCAGAGGAACATTTAAAAGATGTATTGAAGTAAGTGTGGGTAAATGAAATTACCCCAGAGTACTGTGACAAGCTTGTAAAAAGTATGCCTTCTCGTATACAGGCTGTATTGAAAAATTGTGGTACGAAATACTACGAAATACTAAGAAATTTGAGACTTTTTGGTGATGAGTTTTAAAAATAATTACTGCTAGATATGTTTTAGAACATTTTATAATACTAATAGTACATATAATATGATTCCATTAAAGAGAAACTGGACTTGCTTAATTAAAACTGCAATTCTGCTAGGTGCCTTAATTCAATGGCCACTACTGTAGATGGACAGCAATAATTAATGGCAGCCAAATTAAGATGGAGGAGTAGTTGTCCAAAATTAATAAGACTGGAGGTTGTTTTTTGTTTGTCTTGTGTGTTTAAAAAATTGTTTAAATACTCGATGACTTAGTCATCGGCTAAACCGATAGAATCAAGTCAAAGCAGATTATAACACCATGTTATAACTTGATAACGCTGACAAGCGACAGCTAGCAAGTTGACAAGAACGTCATCTTGCCCCATTGTGTTATAATCTCCATCTTATGTGTTTTGCCCAGATTCAGTTAAAAAAATTCAATTAATAACTCGCGTATCACACAACGTCATATACATTTACTATAAAAAGGTTGGAAATTTTTTTTTTTTTTTTAAATAAAAATTTTAAAGAATTCAAAGGCTAAAAAGCAACAATTTTTTTTGTTTTGAAAATTGTAAAAATGAATTTGTTAAAATAAAATACTACGTATGCAATATTTACAAAAACCGACCTTATTTTGTCATTGCCATCAATTTATACTATTTTTAATTAAATAATTTGACTAAAAAAGGCGGTTTTCCCTCTTGGTTAGTTTGTAATGAAAAGTACATTTTGCTTTTTGTGTTGTTTTTGTCAAAACTGGTAAAAACTTGTTACTCTTTTTTAAAATAAGGCATTTTATTAATATTTTGTTTTTCTTTTGATTTGTTTATGGGCATTATTGTAAGATATTTATAATAACGGAAAGTTTCATTTTTGATGCACTTGTAAATCTTTGTATGAAAAAAGTATAAAAGACAGCTGTTGTTTTTAAAATTATAAAACTTAAATTTTATTTTTATGCAGGGATTTGTACAAAATGTGGATACATTTCAAGTCGCCCTTTATGTACAGCTTGTATCATGCTAGAAGGTCTGAACAAAGGGTTGCCAAGGTAGCGCATTTTTATTGATTAATTGATTAACATTATTTTGAGTCTTGCTCAGTAAGAACTTCAAAATGAGTTTGTAAGAATACTAAGTTTTATAATTTAAAATGAAAAAGTAAAAAATTTTATATGTAATTTAAATCGAGAAGTATAAAACTGTTAAGGTTTTAGGATTTTGTAATGCTAATAAAAACTTATTTTATAACTTAGGCTTGGCATTGGTAAAGTTCATCAAGGCAAGGTTAGTTATGAGAATAGATAGTACTTAAGTTGGGAGTCACTTACTGTTACCTATTAAACTAGAAAGTAGTTATTAGAATAGAAAGTACACTTACTTTTTTTATGTACGATGTTATACTTGCTTTCATTTTTTTTAAGGGTAAAGTTCTGCTGGAAAGCCTACTTCAAGAATCGATTCAATCACCGGCTGTGTCATTCAGTTTATCAGAATTACAACTCAATTTCAAAACGTGTGTTTCTAATTGTAGATGTAAAAATGATAACACGTCTTTGGAGTTAAAAGATGATTACAAGTCAGTATCGATTAATTTTGAAAATTATAACTCAGTTTGCTACAATGATAACTCATAATACGCGATTGGAAACTGAAGCAATTTTTTCAAAAAATATTTGTTTTTCTCTCTTAAAATTCGTGGATATGTTAATCGAGTAGATTTCGTACTTTGACTTTTTTTTTATTATTATTATGATTTTTTTTTTTTATTTTTATTTTAATTCACCTCCTCAAGGCCGAGAAGGCCACTACAGACGAGGAGGCTACTTATTTGTGGTTATAACCCTCTCTCAACTCTATAACTCCGAAACACGAACCTTGATGAACAAGGCCGCTGCGCGGAGAAACGAGTTGAGCGCGGTACTACCAGGACGTGGTGGGGATCGAACTCGGAACTACTCGTTTATGAAGCGAGCGCTCTACCACTACACCACTACCGCATTTACTCCCAATCAATAATTTACTCCCAATCAACAATCAACCACTATTAAGTTGGGAGTTACTAGAAGAAAAAAAAGATTAGAGCTATAGAGCAAGAAAACGGTTGACAGAAGGCTTGTAAAGTTGTAAGTTGTATGAGTCAGGAAAACATAAAGATGGGAGAGAGTTCCAAAGGGTTGAAGTGCGGGGAATAAAACTAGAGGAATAAAAGCTTTTACAGCATACAGGGACAAACACAGTAAAATAATGAGACTTTGCTGAATGACGAGTCAAGCGGGAATGAGTTTTAGTTGATGGAACTAGTGATAATAGTACCTTTGAGCAGCAACCATAATAGTATTTGTAGAAAAGGGGAAGAGATAAAGGGAAACTTTACATGATAGGAGAGATGCTTAAGTTTGGCAAATCGTAGTTATAGCGGGTCTAACTAAGTTTAGAATGGGTTTTTGGACCTTGTCTAGAAAGAACATCATTAGAAGAACCAGCCCAAAATATTGCAACAATAATCCATACAGGGACGCGTATGAGATTTGTAGAATGGTAGAGAATGGAATTAGGAGTGAGAAAATGGCGAGGACAGATGCTAATTTAGCAGTCAATTGTATGTATGGTTTCCATGAGATATCAATAGTGAACAATAATTTAAGAAGACGTAAAGAAGAGGACATAGTAAGAGGGTTGCCATTCATTAATATTGGGATGTTGACAGTATTGCGATAGTTGTTTGCAGTAAATAACTGAGTTTTGTTGGAGTTAAAATGTTGTTTTGTAATAATTTTGTTGGACTTGTCCTTATTTATCATTATAAAACAATGTTAAACAGCCGGTCACGAAATTCCTAAAACCTAATGCAAAATACCCATACCCCTCTTAGATTCTATTTCTAAAATTTTCATACAAATTAATTGCTGCGCTTAGGACAAGGTAGCAAGCGCTACTTTAAAACTTTAATGATCTCAAAAAATCAAATGGCTTTCTAGCGATGGTTTTTGTGCGGTAAGTTTTTCGGTAAAAAATAATATCTAAAAATGTAAGCGTAAATAATTTTTTTCTAAGTTTAAGTTTTTCTGATACCAAAAGTATAATGTATAAGAAAGCGTGAATTTTTGCGAAATTTTTAAAATGCAAATCAAATTTGATCAGCCGTAATACAGTGGTTGCCTCAAAAACTAGAGATCCGAGGTTCAACACCACCTCTAGGTAAGTTCTATTACATCTATAAGGAAGTACGCGTGAACTTCCTTTCGAATGCTCTTCCGAGTTGCTCTGTGATAAGACTGTAAGGACTTATTGGGGCACCTAAAAAAAAATTTACACTTGTTTATGTTGGAAGCATGATCAATTTTAGGAATAAAATGAGGAGGGAGCGAATCCTTAAAAAAAACTAACTGCCTTCTTTAAAAAAAAAAAAATCCTCAAAACTAAAAAACTGCCGACTGAAACGTGTCAAACGCCGACTATATTCCTAAAAAAACCGAATATAAATTGAATGCGACCTTCTTAGGTGGAGGTGGTATGACACATACCTCCTTGAACCAGCTTGGTTGGTAGAAGACAAAACTACTTTTTAGAAATCTTTGCGGCATCTTTTTTATTTTTAATTTTTGTATTTTACTTTTAATTACCAACTTTACTAATCAAGTATTGATTAAGCAAAAACTAGAAGTCTAAGAACCTAACTTGCTGAGAATGGTGCATGATTGTAGTACATTGCTTTGCTAATGCGTCACAAACTGCTTTTTCGGTAGCATTATTAAAATGCATTATTTGCAATGCTCACGAGCAGCATTTTTAAACTTTTTAAATATACGCAGCCTGAGTGAAATTTTTGAAAACTTTACACCTACTAGACTTGCTTTTAAAGTCGAAAATATAATAAACTTAAGTTTTCAAATACAAGAATTTAAATATCAAACTCTGAGTAGAGGTACTGATGAAGTCATAAGTTTATACATTCATAAACAATAGTTACTTTCATAAGAAGCTTTAAGTCGTATTAAAATGGTAAAAAATTCTAAAATTATTTTGCATTATAAAACAATGCATAAGTATAAAACAAACCTTAGGTCTTCTTGGGGCACCTCGAATAAAAATAAAAAAAATAAAAATAAGTAGGTCACTTAATATTAAATGTAAAAAAAATGTACTTGTGCCAGACCTCTTCTATGAAAAGTTGGGTTCATTTTACTTTTTATGTTTGAGTTAAAAAATGTTGTCACCAAACATTTGAACTTATTTATTTCATTTTATTTAAGCTACAAATACCAAACAAAGTGGTTGATTACATGAGTAAAATTCTGCCCCCTCAGTTTCAGCTCACTTATCTAGGCTAAGATTTTGCCCAACAGTTTTTTTTTTTTTTTTTTTTAGTCAGAGTTTTTTCTGGGATAGACAGTCGATCTTGTTTTACGAAACCGAGCCAGGGTTTTAGACCTTACATACTTCACTTATTGTTGTAAAATTCTTTAATTTAATTGCTTCATTTTAGGTAGCTGTCAACAAAAAAAAAAAGAGCTCAGAAATATGATTTCGTTGGGATAGAGATGATAAAGTTTCAAATTTAACTCAGAGTTTGTCAAAATTTGAATTCCAAATGGATTATAATGACAATGCTTTATTAAACAATCAAAGCAATAAAAAAGGTTTAGAAAATGTTTAGCTAACATTTACTGCCAGTTAAGTTGGTTTGAGCCAAAATAAAACTCTTATTAAATGATATTATACTAGTCTTATTAAATGATATTATACTAAAGTTTAAGGACAAATCAAAGAAGTTTTTCAAAATACTTTTCATTAGTTGCTTTATGGGATCAAAGTAGTGAATGTGGGAAACTAGTAACTTCAGTATTTTATAATCGTCTTGTTCAAATATAAGTTTGATTGCCATAAATAGAACCATTATCTTGTAAAAAATCAACTTATGATGTTAATAAATATTTGATAATAATAAATAAATAGATTTAACATTGAAAGCAGCACAGTTAATATAGTACAGATGGTATAAATAAATGCTTAAGTTTATTTAGTGTTGAAGACAGTAATATTGTAAGTTTTCTTTATTATTACAGATTTAAGAAACTGCTTTTATGATATTGATATCTTAACTATTACAAAGAAAAATAAAAGTGACATTACTGAAATTAATTCAATCTTACCGACAAAAAATGACGTCATACACAAAAACAACTATGTGCATCACAAGGAGATCACATTTTATCAAATGAAGATACTCAGTTTAAAAGAGATGCTGCAGAAGCCTTAAAACATTCTAATGAAACATTCTTAGTCTAAATGGAGTGTATGTCAGAATCAATTTTTTAGGTTGCTCAAAAAATTTCTAGATCATTATAAATACTAATAAACTAAAAGTAAGTAAATATAAATATGCTGTAGAGAATAGAAGAATTACAAAATATCATTACTTTAATGCTCGTTTTATAATGGATATTTTATGATACATTTATTATGTGATAAAAGATAATTTCTATTTTTATATAGTTTTTTATGTATTTTACCATCAAACACATCTAGTTACACTTTCGGATTTAAAAACCGTATAGACACGTGTTCGTCACGATCCAGGTGTAAACCAGGTTTAAAATCAACTATAAAATGTTGCATTCTTTTATTACAAGTTTTACATTTTGCGACATTAGAATTATCTTGTTCTTTCTCCACATTTTTGAGTTTTGAGAAAAAATGATTTAAAAAAAATATAAAAACTTTAAGAGACGGCATATAAAAACATTTTTATAACTTGCGTTTTATCCGCAACTTTTCTAATTATAACTTTGGTTTCAATACAATAGAAAAACATTATTCTAAGGTAGATAACACCAACAATAGCTCAATTTGTGGAGATTAAATAAGATTATTCTAACGTCGCGATTTGTTACGGAAACTTAGTATAATACTATACTACGCTTCCGTAACGGTGAAACCATTAATAAAAACGTCCTAATCCTAATTAATGCTTCGGTAAATAGTTAACAATACAGCAAAACTCCTTAACAAAATACTTTTATGGAGTTGTGCTGGCTGGGTTGCTTTTCTTTATAGTAACATTTGTTAAAATGTTTTTTTTTTTTGTTTTTTTTTATGAATTGCAAAAATAATCCATATAACTGATATAATGAAACACAACAATGCATTAACAAACCAAATTCTATTTGTTACTTATTTTTTTTGTAAATAAGTTTTTGCATTTTTATTCTCTCGATATATTTAATTGATGAATATTTATAAAAAGTACTTTGAGTAACACGCACAATTAACATCCACATTAACGTCAGCAAATGCAAGATTATGAACATAATCGGTAAAACAGAATTTCGTTATTACAACTATAAGGTAAAAATATACTTTCTCATCCCCGTAGAAAAATAGATAAGTGGAAACTCACCTTTAATTAATCCTTATTATTGAATGTCTCATGTATTAATGTGACATCTTAATATATTTTCAATAGATTCTAAAATATGTATTGACTATGAAATTACCTTGTTATACTGATGCAATATGTAGATGTAAAACGTAGATGTATATGTAAGTGTATTTATTAATGCCCTTTAAAACCACCAACATTTACTTACTAGCAAATAACCTAGTAAGCAAACGAACATCCGTTAAACCTTCAGAAAATGCCCGTTTTGCGCCAGTAAGCGTCCTAAATAGACGATATGCAAACATCCAAGTAGTCTGCCAATTTAAATATTTTGTGTCCGTCCAAAAAGATAAAATAGAGTTAACTTGAATTTCACCGATTTTCCCATCTATTAAGGAGGTATAATAGACTAGCTGGAGGGGAAACGAAAATCGTTTAAAATTATGGTACAGTCTTAGTAGCATAATTATTACTGCAGCAAGTAAAAATAACGTCTTTGCGTTGAAATAGGAAAATTTTGAAATGTAGTTTGTAACCTAAAAAACCTGTAATCGAAATGGATTACTCTTTTAAAACTTGACTAGATAAGTTTTTAACAACTACCAAGAAGTAATCACAACAAAAATCATGATCTACGTAAAATAGAAACAGTCGGAACTTTTTAAGGATTAACTCCCTCCCCTCTCTCATTTTATTCCAAGAATCTCCTCTGATTATTCATAGTGTAAATAAAAAATTAACAACAACTATTGTGTAACTCTACGCAGAAAGTAGGAGACGGGAGAGTTAGCCATTACGTAAGCCAAAAACTACGTACGGGAGAGAGAATTAAACATACAAGAAAGTGAATTAAAGTCTATGTGTAGAGAAAAATGTTTATTTTTTAGTTAAAAAAATACTCATAAAAAAAAAACAATTAATAATCCAAAAATACTAAATCCCGAAAAAAAATTTTGTTAAACAGGTATACAACAAAATAAGAGAATTAGTTAGTAAGCTCTCGAGTGTTTACACTTCCATACTTATTTTGATCAGCTCTTTTGAGTAAATCTCCAACGCTATGTTTGATTACATCCTTTGTTATGTTTTTTGTAGGGATCACTAAAATAAAATTATGAATGTACAAAATGTAAGTTAAATAGGAAGGTATTATTCAATTTCAGAGTTACTTTAAAAAAGTGTTTTTACATAAACTAATAGAGAATTACTTTTTTATTGCAAGTTTTATTTTGAAGTTCTATTTTTTTATGACAACTCTTTTATTGATGATTAAAGCTGAGGTTCTCCACTTCAACGTTTTGTTATGTCATTATGAAAATTACGTCAAGTTATTTTTATAAACTTATACCTTGTTAAGATTATCCAAAATTCTGGAATATATTTTTACTTACGAACCTGCAATAAGAAAATTAGTGACTTTAAAGTGAGTTCAATAAAAACAAATGAATATTTAAAATATCCTTCAAAATACAGGAATGGGTCTCAGTTTGTTTTTCCTCAAGTTGAGGACAAAACACTGTTCACTATTACGAAATAATAGGGTGAACGCGAAAATTTTTTGAAATTCAGTATAGACTCTAGGGAATGGTGGCAATTCCCGTTTTGTTAATACCATAAGCAGTGGTACCTATACCAACTTTTTTTTAGTATTAAGAATATATTGCACGTTAATTTTATTTTAGTTTCCTTTCAAAAAGTAAAGTATTAAATAAACAGTACTCATTATTGTTTTTTTTCAATTTAATTTCTATGACGATTTTTATAGATAATTTGTGTTCGTTATGTGCAATTGTGCATCGTTTATGTTTTGCATAGTCATCGTTTATGTTTTACATAGTCATACTATACCGAAAATCTTTCATTTTGATACTCAGAACTCAAATTTTTAATAATTGTTTAAAATTAAAATATAAAAAGTTAAGTATTTTTTTGTTGTTATATAGAAAATGAAAGTTATCTCCAATTGTGCGCTTATTTGCGCATCTCTATTAGTGTTACCAGTGCACTTTAGGTACGCACACATGTTTTTTAAAATCTTTAACAATGTCCCTTAGAGGCTGTCCATGACTGATGTCAGTAATTTTACTCAATTTTTGGCCCCTCTTCCCCCTTTGTCAAATTCTGTCAATTTTGGGCCTTATATATAGTGTCAATTTTTTTACCCCTCCCCCTAAAGTATCATTAAAAGTATCTGTTAAAACCATAGATTTTTTTCTGGTTAAATTATACATTCATATAATAGTAGATCTCAGTAAATTATATTATAGAACAGTTGATACCTCATCGAATAATGAACAAACTAATCAACTTTTTACTCTATATCTATAATATAAATTCAATCATTCATTATTACTTTATGTTTTTGCTTTGAAGTACATTTTATAATCCGCTAGGGCTCGAATAATGATTGTTAAATTAATATACAAATTGTTGATATTTGTAAACATTTAGATTTTCAGTCAAATGGTAATACAATAATAAAACGTTGATAAATTTTAAATTTATTTCATGTCTCTAGGAAACTTACATCGAAGTCCCTACAAAGCAAATATGCCATTTTTATACCACATTATTGATGTAAATACCTTTAAAATCTGCTCGTATATGCTTGAATTTTTTTTCTTAAATTGACATCATTTTGGTTTCAATACCTCCCTCCCCATTGTCAACCTTTGTCAAACTTTTCAGTACTCCCCCTCCCCCCCTATATTTACTGACATCATTTATCGATGGCTCCTTATATAACCCTATCAGAGGTAGAATAGAGAAAAAGATATAAAACAGTTGGCTTTTAGCACTAAAAAATGCAATCACAAAACTATATTCTAGCCAGTGGTACCAGAAAAACCCTAAGAACTATTCCTATTTACCTAATTTACGGTACATAAAACAATTCTATTTTTATAACCGCAGCCTTACGCTATTAACAACTATAATTACCTTATACGTAATTAAGTATACAAATGTAGGATTGTTTTCGTAATGTATTTAGGTATCTTTTGACAACGTTTAAACATTACGCAATGATTGCGATGTAGGTTATAGAACTACAGTTGTTTTTTTCGTATAAACAAATTTATTTTACAAAAGCTGTTAACAAAAAATCATTTAATGCACGCTAAATTTAACACACAAAAAAAAAATATTATAAAATTCAAACGAAAACTGAAACTTCGTTTTTAGTGCAATGGTGCGTTAAATAAGTAAAAAAATTTAACTAAAGTCAGTTATTCAGGGCTTCATAAAAATTGCGAGTGAATGGATATTTATTGCGTCAAAATCCGTGGCTTTTTTCAAAGCATAATTAAATATTGCGTCGAATAAAAAGCGTTTTTAACTGTTTACTCTAAGGTTGGTTGCTGACTTAGTATGAAGTTAAAAATCTGCCTACGTTTATAATAGCGGACCTTAAATTATACCATATATTGAACCGCACCTTCGCACTACATCACAAACAAGTTGACGGACTTTTGGATCATGAACATTGTTTATTAGAGAAGTAACAGCAGGAAAAACAGCAGGTAGCACAGACTTGAACTGCAAAGTAGGTAACCCAAGCAACAATTCTAACATGCTTACGATTAATTGTGACCAGGCATACAAATGAACTGCCTCGTCTTTCTTTTTCCTCAACTGATGAATTTGACTTTTTGATGGATCTGTTTGCTCAAGTCCTTTTTTTATTTGTCGAAATGGTGAGCTGAATTTTATTCCTTTATGTACAGAGGTGTTTAGCGTGGTTAAGTCGACACACTCCTCTGAAAAATCTAAGTCTTTTTTCGGCGATATTTGCGGTGACTGAAATGTTATGTCAAGAAACCCAGAATCTTGCTCTATAAAAGTTTCTGATTGATGGAGGGTTTGGTACGTTGCGCTTATTTGATTACATGCATCAAACAAACGTTTGATAATCCAATCAATATTGGCTTCGCCTTTTAACAGATTTCGATATTTATCTTCGTTTAAAGCTCGAGTAGTCGAGTCACTGCTCGGAGAATAGTCGTGATTTCCATCGAGAAATACCTTTTCACCAGTTAAAATTCTCTTTATGCTTGAAATAGAAAAGTTTTCTCCATCATGTCTAGATATTTGAAATAAAGTATTTAAGTAAATGGCAAAAGCAGTAATTGATTGTCTTAAAAGATTAGTTGACTGCGTAAACCGAGCTAGCTTTTGCACGAGCGATCTCAAACCGGGTCGATTGTTATAGTCATTCGCAACGTTGTATGTAGTTGTTAAGCAATCAAATAAAATTCCTAAATTAACGGGAGATAGGTAGCAAAGTAGACCCGGGAGAGAATTATCTTCTTTGTTTCGTTTTATGAGACCACTTTCTGTAATGTTCGAAAGAATTGAACCACGAATAGAATCTGCACTTTCCAACAAGATAGAACCAAGGGTTTGAGTAAGAATCTCGCTACATAACAAACTTACGGTTAAACCACGAAAAGAAATTCTAAACAGAAGAATAAATTCTGATATTAGGTAATCTTTTAAAAGTAGAGATGATATATAATGACAACCCTATTATGTTTTACCTTGTTTTAATGTTATCCGATTTAGTGCGATCAGTTGATAACAGAAATATAAAAGAGCGATTATCATCTTCATCAAATGACGAATCCGATCTCGAAGGTAATTCTTTCAGTTGTGACTCTAATAGGAAAACCTAAATTAAAATTTTAATGGTAATTTTTGAGTTAAAAAAACTAGAAATAAATAAAACTTGATTACGTATTCACCTGTTCAGCAATTTGTAACAGTCTCATACATTCCTGTGGGTTAGAGTCTCTTCTTGCTACAACCTTTACGTGGATTCCGTTGTCTCCGCTAACGCTAGTTGAACCGTGGCGAAAACAAGAAATTAATTCGCGTACTGGTGAAAGAGTAGAGTTAAAAATTCGTTTAATTCCACTGCATAAAATGTCCCAAAGTTCTTCAGTGAACTGAGGTCCCGCTGATAATAACATGTGTCTAATGTTTAGAAATTATGTATTAAAATAAACAAATGTTCAAAATAAACAAATGTTCAAAAAAACGAGAAGAAATACTAAAAAAATACTAATGAAAATAAAAATAAAATCTATTTTTAGTGACCTCGCTAAAAATTCTTCGTTTAGTAACAGAAATAATAAAAATAAAAAATGATAATAATAATAAAAATAATATTAATAACAACATAGATAAAGGGCATTATTTTGTGACAATTTTGTAGAATTGAATTGATAGTTTCAAGTACAATAACATAAAATAATCAAAACCTCAAGCAAGAACAACCGGTTCGTGCAATTGCCTCATTTGGTTGCACAATACATTCTTGAAAAAGATCTAATAGTTGCTTTAACATGATTGGTACACAATTTTCTGCTCCTAAAACAAAGAAAAAAACTAAACTAAAAGAAAATACAATATAAAATAGTAATAGTAAAAAATTATGTTATAAAATACAATAAAAAAAGTAATTCAGTTTGTAATTCAGATTGTTTTTATAATTACAAGAATGAGTAATTCATGATTAAATCATGGTTTAAAATTATTCAATTGGTGCCCAATCCTTTAAAACTTTTGTGATACTTATGATATAATTAATATCAATAAAAATGCATAAAAAATATTACAAAAGCTTTCCTAATTTATTTTTGTGTGTCTGTTAGTTTTATTTTTTTTATTCAAATACATAAGCCAAACCATTTACTTGGTTTTTGACTTTCTTGAGGTATTTACTTATCCTATGCTATTTGGTTGTTTTAATTTTTTTGCTAATTTTTTTGCATAGACCATTTGAATAGGTTTTAAAAATATTCCAATATACCTATTAAAACAGGCTGCATTTTCCATGAAATTCTTCTCAAAGAATGACATCACTATTTTTCTGTAATGCAATGAGGCTAGGTGAGGTCTTATTGCATTAAGGTCAAAATAAGTATTAATCATTTTTAAGATGCACTTTAATAAAATGAACTAATTACATCTCGATGTTCTGCTTTAAGTATATAAAATAGTTAACTGCAAGACCAATAAAGATTAAAAAAAAATTTTTTTAACACCCCTCAGAAAAGCATAAAAAGAGTTATTTTTTTTTACAGTTTGCTTACATTTTATCCTTGCAGAGAACAATGCCACTATAACAATGTCACTAGAATAAAATTAATAATTTTATTATTTGTACAAAAGCAAGCTCATATCAATGATGTATGAATTTCCTTACATATTCTGTCACAGAGGATCACTTTCTTGGTAAAATCCTCATCAATCTATATTGATATCCTTTTCACTTTACAGACAATGATTGTTTTTATTTTTGATGCATATTTAATGTGGGTTGTGCTATAGCCAAACTTGCAAACCTTTAGATAAATTCATTACTGTAGGCAAACTTGGGACATTTTTTTTTTTTAGTTTTTCTGGCAACACAACTATTTTTTCTTTTATACCTAGAAACATTTTCAGTAGACTAGATAAGATTGTTTTAGGTTGCAGTTAGTCTTAATAACTTTTATATTACAAAGTGTCCAACAAGAAACTTTAAAAAAATTTTAAACAAATTTTGTTAACTACTTTTTTTTAGCTTTTTTTGTATATAAAGAAAGAAAATTTGTGTTAAGATCTTATGGTTTTTTCTTTTTGACATTTCAAAACCTTTTTGGACTTATATATAAAAAACTTGTTTTAGTTAAATTATAAATCACCATATAAAGGCATACATCTTCTTTGAAATGAACTTTTAAATACAAATTATTATTTATCATTATTCATTAAAAATAGTTAGGCACCTTTTGAAAGTAAGTCAATATTGTATATTGATTGTCATTTACTTATTTTATCAATAAATTATCACCTTCAACTGTTAAAAAATGACCGATTTCTTCAACTACCAATTGTGTTGCCAAGCCGCAGGCATGTTTAAAATTGGTTAATGTGTTCTCCCAATATGACTTTTTTCTAGATCCTCGCTGAACCCATGAACGAAGCATTGGAAGCAAAAGATTTGATATTGCAAACATGGAAAAATGAGGACCAGGGACAGTGGTTACAGATCGCAGTATTTCAAACAGTATTTCTATAATCATTGGCTGAAACCTTTGAGGACTAGTAGCAACATTAGTAGTAAGCCCTTCTAAAAGTAAAAACCATACACGCAGAATGCCAGTATCATCTATTGCTACTATAGATTTTGCGGCACTGATAGGTGATATCTTTCCTTCTGAATCTGATGCTGAAGTGCTTTTTGATTGAGACCAAGTATCATCCCAAACTCGATCTTGTGACTCAGTCATGTTTACAAGAAGAATTGAGTATGACCCATTAAAAATAGAGCTAGATGGCTGAATGTAAATTGAAGATAACTTTTTAGATATTTGAAGAATTATGTTTAAAATTGGTCCGCATAACTCCATAGCATTTGAAAAATCACTAGTGTTGCTTTCAGTGTCACTTTTAAGTGAGCTATCTTTATCAAAAGATTTTTCAAAAGAATCTTCTTTATCATTTGAACCACCTCTTAAAAATTTTAGAAGGCACAGTACAGCACTCACAACAGATGAAGCAAACACACTATTGCTTTTTATGTTCACAAAATGTTCAATAATACTGAAAACAAGTTTTTGACGTTGTTCACTGTCATTAAATTCTTCCAAGGATTGGCGATTAGAAATTTGTGTATTGCTTAATGCACGCAACAATGATCGCCAGCCAGACTTTATTGATTGGCCAAAACCTTCAACAAGTTCGAACAAAGTATAAAGAATCTAAAAAAAATAAAAAATATAAAATTTTGGAACAACAATAAAAATGTTTTTTTGAGATCTTTGGAACAAACCTGATCTTGAATTTCATCATCACATGTATCAAGTGCCATTAATGTATTGAATGGCATAAACAATGTATCATAAAACCAAAAATGTGGTAGCTCATTACGCCTTTTCAGCATTTCACTTAATATATCATGAATAGAGGTTAATGCTACCTTTGAAACATGCCGTGCCCGATGATATGCAGCCTATTAAAATATTTATGTATAAAAAGTAACAGTATTAGTATAATTTAAAAAATATATACAATTTTTGAAAAAAATGTTTTGTAGATTTAAAAAAAAATTAAAATAATCAATAACTAATTTAAAATAATTATCAATAGACTTAAGTATAAAATGGTTAAATTTTTACCTCAACTAAATGTGATGAAATTATTGACCAAGCTTCCATTACATGGAGAAGTGGACGATTATTGTTTCGGGCACAACGTAACATCACATCACAAATGTGGTAAAGATGCAGAGTGTTCAACGTTATCATTTGTAGTTGTATACTCTTTGTATTTTGTGCTGACTTTGTGTCCATTGCAGTAAATCGACTGTCTTTGCCAAAAAGTTGTTGATAAGAAGCTTCTGTAAGAGCTTTCAAAAATCCTTTAAAGGATTTAATTGGTAGAGTGGTTGCTGCCATGTCAAACAAATTATCAACAGCACTGGATAACGCATAAACAGCTCTGCTTGCGTCTTCTGAATTCAATACACCGTTAACTAGGCTTTTGCTTGAACTATTTGAATCAAAAGATGTATCTTTGTTACATATTTCTTCTGTAGATGATGAAAGCGAGTTTAGTTTAATGGATTTATTTGGAGAATCACTAAATGATGCGTGCTCCAAATTTGATATGTACATGCAACATCTAAAATTATATATATAAATATATATATATATATATATATATATATATATATATATATATATATATATATATATATATATATATATATATATATATATATATATAAATATAAACATAAACATATAAATATATATATATACAAACATATAAATATATATATATAAATATATATATCCATTTCTGTATCCATGTCTGTACCTGTCTCTTTTTTGTGTGTAACATGTCTGCATACATGCTTTTTTTCTTTTTCAGTTTAAGAATGAACAGTGTAATTAAAAATTTACAACAAAATGCAACATATTTATTCAAAACTTTCTATAAATAAATAATAACTCTAATAGAACCTAAAAACATGCGCCCATGCTTGTGGAGAGTTGCTCCCTAACTCTAAACCAGATGCCAATAAAGTGTCCATGCTTAATACATGAGCAGCGTGCAATTTTACAGAATCAGAAAATTTTCCAGATCGATGTTTCTTTTCATCAAAATAGTCTGTGCATGATGCCTCTGATAATCGAGACAAAATTGTATCACATCGAGATTGAATGTCTTTGAAATAAAGTAAGAATTTAAATTAGAAAACAGCATTTTTTTTTTAAATATGTTCAGATAAATAATTTAAATACAGAATTAGATCAAGTGGCTACAATATAAGATCATAAAATTTCTTCTTACAGTCTATTCTGGAAAGTGTACAACACTCTAGTTTCAAAATAAGTTTTGTAAATGTAAACATTTATAGAAGTTGCATTTTCTATATTTTGTAAATATTATTCTATAAACTTAAGTATTTTGTTTTATAAGAGTTCAAAGTATTAAAAAATGATTAACTAAAAACATATTAGCCTATATCATTAAAACTTTAACATTCATCAGCATTAAAGATTTAAGAGCTTTGAAGTGCAGTAAATTAGAATTTTAGTGCATGAAATGATATTAACTGGATGAACTGAATTTGTTTATCCATCATATTTGATTTAGCTATATATGTTAATATTTTTTTACAGTTGATTAATAAAAGTTACAAGTACAGCAGAATTTAATAAATCGGTTTTATTTATAAATATAGTAACTCATTACTAAAATTTTATAAAACAACAAATTTTGTGTGAGATGTTTGGGCACTTATTCTTGCAATAAATATTAGAAAATAATAAATTTACAATTCAAATTAAATATTGTAATGATAATAAATTTTTGAAAATAATAGAGCAAGAAGCAAATTTGCTTTTAAATTAATTTATGCTATTTTACATTATGATAACAACTTTAAGTTTACTAACTTTAACTATAAACCTCTTAATTTAATCTACTAACACCTCGGTACTAAAAAGAAAAAGAAAAACTTTTTCCGCATCAAATATTGAGATTTTTTAAATCTGAATAATTACTCAATTCTATAACTCAAATCCTACACCTTACTTGGTATTTAGTAGGAATAAATCATTTAAAAGTGAAAGGTCTAAAGGGTTTTCAAGTTTATTCAGACCAAAAAATAACACCGACTGTTTTTCATAAAAAGTACAGCATCTATTTTTTTATAAGAATGTTAATTTTTAGCTATTTTAATTGTTAATTTTTTGTTATTTTAGATATTAAAAAAGACCCAAAATAAAAGTATAATTTTTCATTTTTGTTTTAACTGTGAAAGCAGTTCTTTTAAATTTTCTAATTATTTTTTTTTTTTAGTTTTTATATTAGTACATTTTTTAATAATACATAAGAAAGGTTTATCTTTTTAGTTTTTATATTAGTACATTTTTTAATAATACATAAGAAAGGTTTATCTTTTTAGCTATTAATTTTTGTTTTTTTCAATTGAATAATTGAAATTCTTATACTAACAATACAAGAGCACCTTTTTCATTTTTATAAGGAAAGCAGTTCTAATGAAAATCTTCCCTCTTTCACCTTGTTCAGTGCCCTTGATGAATCTGTAAGTTGTTGACTATATTTTATAAACATTTTAAAAAATGTTTAGCAACAAAAATTTTCCTTTCAGCCAAATTTTCTCTCCAAAATTTAATGCAAATGTAAGGCTAAAATATAAACAACTATATAAAATTTGATATTTGAGAACAAAATAGATAAAAAAGAACTCTTTCAAAATCTTTATTATAACTTAAGTAGGAAAGTTACAAAGCTATTTTTTTAATGACTATACATAATAAAATAACTATTAAAATCTAAGCTTTGTCTTTAATCAAAATTGTTATAATTATATTTCTTTATGATTTCTATAATCATTATAGAAGTGCCTTCTATAGTAGATTTTAAATAAATTTTATTGATTTTCAATACTAATAAAATACTATGGTTTATATATCAGATCAATGTTGATAATTTAATATAGTAATTTCAAATTTTTACTTTTAAAAAAAAAATTTACGCTTTGAAATTTTTACCAAGAGCGCAGCATAACCTGGCTGCTCTTCTAAATCCATCCAAGGTAAGACAAACTAAATCTCGTTCCATAGAAAGCTGCCGATTTGTATTTGGACTGCCAATACCATTAAGCATTAAAGCCAATCCAACAGTTCCATTTCCTGCTAAAATTAATAGGTTTTTTTGATTTCAAAACTATTTTAAAATTTTTTATTTTTAAAAAAATTGTTATAATAATTATAAATTTTTAAATTTATAATTATTATAACAGTTTATACAAATATTAAATTTTAGTAAATGAAAGCAGCTAATTTCAATTCAAAATATCAAATATCAACATAAGAGTTAAAAAAAAAGAAGTGAAAATACTCTTATACTTAGTTATTATAACTTTTCTGGTAAATTGAATCTCTGTGATAACATCTGTGAAACATTTTTCTTCCACAACCCTAAAGTCCCTTTTAATGCAGCTAATTAGCAAAACACAAAACTTATGTTCAATGCAGCTAATTGACAGAACATAAAACTTTCTCAAAACAATATTGCTTCATTAAAAATGAAACAACTTGGATTTTACACAATTATAACTTTCTTAATAACTTTTGTGTTATCTTTAACTTTCCAGAATATTCTAGAAATTTCCAGAATGTTTTTGAACTTTTTAAAATGTTCGAAAACTCTCCAGAATGTTATGGTAATTTCAGAATGCTCTAGATCTTTCTAAAACCATTCTGGAACCTTGTGGTTCTGCAACCATGTTTCAAATACTCTGCAGTGATAAAAATTTCAGTTTCAACAATTTTTCACATGAGAATTATATGGTCCTATCTGACATTTGATTTTGTAAATAAGTATTTGTATTTAAATTTCAAGTTTTAATTGTTAAAATATTTTACTGTTCTAAAGAGCAGTAGCAAAATTTTACTGCTCTAAAGAGCAAATATTTTAATGCTCTAAAGAGCATTTTGATATAAATATCAACTAACATTTACATTACTTATGTTCAATTTAAATTATAATAGTATTTATATAAATTTTAAATTTTTTATTTTTCGATACTAATTATTAATTCCAACTTAAATTGTAAAATTTTTAAAATATAAAGAAATACAGATAGAAACTTAAAATTCTCATAAGACAAATTGCATATAAAAAGGTGGATGAAGCAAAAAATATTTATGACAAAGTTCCACAGAAAGTTATGGCATAATAGAATGCTTGCAAAGTTATGCATTTTAATGAGAACGATTGACATTAAACAAGAATTTCCAAAAAAAAACCCTCAAGTGATATGGCTAGACTAAATCACTTAAGAAAATATGATGAAAAATGAAGATAATGATGAAGCTCAGTAACTCTTCAGTAGCTAATGCTATTGAAACAAATCAAAATTATTGCTATCATTCTGCAACTTTAAAGAAGGAAGATAACAACCATAAAGATGCATTTGGGGATAGAAACAGAAAAAACATTTCCTTAGTCTAAAGAAAAAAGATGATAAAAAGTTTTAAATTTAGAAATACAACTCAGTAAAATATTTTATAAAATCAAATCAATCCAAAACATCAGAAGAAAAAAAGTAAATTCTGAATAAGAAAAACATGCAAAAGAGGGATAGTTCAATCCTTTGAGTTGCACAAAATCCAAAGAAAGTAATTCTAAAATGGTTTCTATAACACTAACTTGAAACATTTTAAAGACTCTCTGATAATGGCAGCAGTAAATTGTGCTTACTCCAAGCAACCAAGCTGTACTTCCGAACAATCAAACTCTAACTCTTGTAAGAATGATGCCAAAAGGATTTTGAAATAAAAAAATATCTCTGATTATATTACCAATTGAAAGCCCTTGGAAGAAATTAAGGAAAGAAAAAAGTTACACATCAAGGAGAAATTCGAAGCATCTTAATATGCAGTTCTTGACTGGATATAAAAATTCATAAAAACACTGAAGAGAAACAGTCTTGCTTTTTTTGTTTTTTTCTGTAAAAACTCTTTGTTTACAAAAAAAAATCTTGGAAATTAAAACTTAAAATCATAAGCAGCTAATTCACAAAAAAAAAATGCATTAACTATTTGCATTAACCGAATGTTGAAAAAAAAATTGTTGGTACTTGCTGAAATACAGCTGCAACACTGGATGCATTTAAAATAACGCCAACGCTCTCAAAAAGCACCTTATTAGAAAAATATTTTATCTTGTTTACAGACTTCATTTTCATGTAATCATCATAAAAGATATCTGCAATATGTCATTTGGAAAAGATCTTATGATTATACAGTGTTTGAGAGTTTACAAATTAAATTTGTTCAAACTTTACGAGACAAATAGAAAAGCTTTTGCACCACTACAATTTCAGGACCTTTGGTTAATAAAGATCTGCAAATTTATCTTTGATTAACTTTCACATCTTTTGAAGAAATAGTAAGCCAAACGAGTATTTTTAGCACAAATATTATTTTCATATTCTGATGATGTTAAGTCATAATACTTAACATCATCAGAATATTACATGTCATTACCAGTTAGTAAAAACCTTAATGTGAGATAACTTATTTTTGACAAGCCTTAAGTCACTGTATGTAAATTTTAGAAAGTCCTATTTGTTTGTTTAGACAATAAAATTGACTATTATATTGTTCAGTATTTGCCAAACAGTTTTGTGGCAAATTTTTTGCAACATAGCAAACTCTTCACACCATTGTGATTTGACATTTTTAAACTTTGAGATTTATGGAGTGTTAATTAGAGGTATTTAACCTTTAAGTGAAGTCTCTGATTGATTTGATTGACTAAATGATAGCACAAACAAACAAAAAAACAATGTCCTGTACATAATTTTATTTTAAATACAAACATGTACAGGATAATGTATAAAAAATGAATTTAAAACATAACATTTATAGAAATTATAGCTTTGTGCTGGAGTTACTTTTTTTTAGTCAGTTGAAATATTATTTTATTATATTTATCATTTCAAAATCGATACAAATTCACTTACAGCGATGCTACAAAATACTCTCTCAAAAATACATTTCTTTAATGCTGGATTATGTTTTTTTTTGTATAAACATATTTAAGATGATATTTCGACTTCAGTCTTAAATCGCATCACTTAACTGCAATTTTTTGAAATAACGACGAAGCTTTATAAAGAATATTGTAGACCTTTTCGTTACACTTTTCCCATTATGAATTAAATTTAATGCACCTTAACTTCCACAAGTGAAGTTTCTGTTTAAAAATTTGTTTGTTTTTATACTCTTGATGCATTTTAAAAGATAAACTTTACTTTGAATTTATTTAAGAGCTCTTAGGTGCATTCAAAAGCTTAAAATTTCACTAGCATCAGCTTAATTTGCAAGGTGACTTCGCTTTCCGTAAAACTTATTTATGAAGGTACCTAATAGGTACAAACGGCAGAGCAGAGTAGATTCGCTGAGCAGAATATTTATACGCTACAAACGGCAGAGCGAATATCAATTCTTTGCTGTAATCTGCCAAATAATTCGGCAGATCACATCCACACAAATTGAATTTCAAAATGGTTAAAAATTTAAATTATATTTTAATTGCATAGTTTTTCATAGCATATTTGGACGTGTTTAAACGGAAAGGCACCAAGTGACATCTTTAACTAAATTGTGTTATTGGGGTTATCTTGCGGAGAATTGTCAAATTTATATAGTAATAAAAACCTGCTTTAACTGTATCAATAAGCATTAAGAGATCAAGAAAAAAAAAAGAAATACTGTATCCAGTATCCAGAATCCTGTAATAAACAAAAAGAAAACCATTTTCGCAAAAACATACAGGTGGCGCTTGGTCCTTTTCTGTTTAAAGGCGTCCATTTGGTGTATTGCAATACAATATTTCTAACAATTGTTCTGCCGAATTATTGTGCAGATGAACGGTAATGTACTCGATGAGTCATCTACCCTTCATCTTCTAGGATTAATTCTTACTTCCGATCTTTCTTGGAAACCATATATCAAATCCGTTGCAAAATTAGCATCTACTCAGGTTGCATCTCTCGAGCTCGACACTTTCTTCTCCAACCATTATCACATCGTCGTAATGATGCTTCTCTTTCTCTTTTCTAAAAATACTATAATGGGTACTGCTCTAAAGAGCTAGCGTCTCTTTTGCCATCTACTAAAATTCACTCTTGTGTTACTCGTCATTCAATTAAGCCTCATTCTTTTTCTGTGACTGCTCCTAAGTGCTCCAAAAACTCTTATTCGTCTAGTTCTTTGGAATTTGCTTCCTTCATCTTGCTTTCCTGATTCATATAATTTGCAACCTTTTAAGTCGTCTGTCAATCGTTATCTTGGTCTTCAATCTTCATCTTTTCTCTTCCAGTAACTTCCAACTCTAGTTGCTGTTGCTTGCAGCCTTGTTTGAAACAAAGATGTTTAAAAAAAAAATGATATAATATTCACCTGAGAGTATTGAGATCAGTGCTTACAAAACCAAAAAGTTAATAAATAAAAAATAATAATTTTAAATGGCAGTACCTTTAACTTTTGCTTTTTTTTACAACAACAACAAAAAATTAAAACAATTTCTCAGTTAAGTTTAAAGTTCCTTTAAACTTAAATGAGAGATTTAAAAAGGACCCCTTTATATGTACTTATCTAGTTTGTTCGTAAACCACTTATTCATAGTTCTCCATTATCTTTAGATATTCTAAATTAACTTAAGTTTAAAAATTAATTAATTTTAATATAAAATCTTTTTATAAACTCTACTTGGATATCACTCCTTCCAAGCAATATATATAAACACAGATAAGCAGTATTTTGTTGAAATAACCCATTCATTCATGTTTGCATTTACCGTGCTTATCTTTTCATGTCATTGATCTTCTTTTTGTCCCGTTTTAAATATTGAAATAAATTTAAAAAAATGCTACTAATTTGAAATCTTCAACAGCGTAATGATCTAAAGCATACAACGAAGTGTGTAAAATCTTGATTTTTGAAAAAATTACAAAGTCCACCACTATTAAATGTCCACCACAACCACTTGATTTAAATCCAATTAAAAATTGTTATTTCATTGGTTTATCTAATATTGAACTAATAATGAATTATTGAATTTAATATATAAAAAAAACTTTGATAATTATAAAAAATTTAAATTTTCTTTCTGTTTATATTTTGACTTTATAGTTTTGCCCGCTCAAATAAACGAATTTAGGATTAAATTAAACTTTTCTAATAAACAATTTGTTTTTACTAAATGTGACAAGAAAAAAAACGTTACAATAGCAATATTCAGCCCTGAATTAATAAAAATTGTTAAAAAATTAAAGACATTTTGATAAAACAGCTTTGTCACTATTTTTTTTGATAGCCACTTTATTTGAATACATTTATGGTTCATTATTTTATAATAAAACTGCATTGCAAGGACAGCACATAAATAGGGGTTAGAAATGGATTAGCTTATATACTAATTACAAAAGTTAAACTAGAGGTTTGACTTACTGAGACTAAAAGTGATCATTAAAATTTAAAAAAACATATAACGAAATCAATACATATAATTTAAAAAAATAAATTATAAAAAAAAATAGATTAAACCTTTGACTCTAGAGTTTGTATCAAGCGGAATCGATAAAATTCCAAGAACTTGATCCCAAGTTGATAAAAGAAGTCTACGTGAAAACCTTATTCCTTCTCGCTTAGCAGGCGGAATATTCTCGGAACCAACGTAATAAGGGGCAGCATCGTTTTCTTTAATTCGACTAGGGTGTTGGGTATATATTTTTTCCGATAAAATTCCTATTAAAGCTTTGTTCGATTCTCTAGACTCTGGTTTACATCCAGCTTTTGACAAGATGTCGTATGTTGTTGCTAAACGATAAACCTCAGATAACCAAACTCTTGACAAGCGAACTGGAAGCCCTGAATGGATGATTGAATCAACGAACTCTTCCTTAAAAAAAAATAATTAAAAAACACACAAAACATTTTAAATAATATTCAGAAAAGGTTGTAAGCTGAAAACCTACTTGTGAAATTGGAGGTTTGTTTTCTCTTGAATTAAAAAAGCCAGATTGAGTAAGTTTATAACTCAATTTTAATGTTTCATATACTGTTTTATAAACACCATCGGCGTTCAATGAAGGGTCTGAATCTTCAGTGTTTTCATTTTTCATATCATGGGTTCGGACAATACCAAAATTAGGAACATTTTTTCTTTTTAGTGCCATGCAAGTGACAGCCTCACAAACATCAGAAGCAAACTGTTGAAGCAGCTCATCAGCAGAAGCGGGTTCCGTTGCAGCTAAAACGGACGGCAAAATGCCAAGTAGACAACGTGCAAAGTTCTTTGCTCCCTCTTTTTCAACTTCTTCAACCGATTTTTCTGGTTCTGTTAACACTTCATTTTCTTTTGGAGTATTAATTGTAGCCATTTTAAGCTTAGGAGGTTTTTTTTTAGGAAGTTTAGATCGTTGTTGCCTCGGAAGTTTGCTAAGAGGAATTCCGTTTATAGTGGTTTCTTTGGAAGGAGATGTGTTCTCCTCTAAATTTTTTACTATTTCTAAGCGAGTTGGTTTTATTTCAAGATTTTCAGATTCTTTTACTTTATCTTCATTGAAAGACTTTACTCTACGCAGTATGGGCTTTGGATTTTTAGAATCATCTTTTTTGTTATCATATTCTGCTGTCTTTTCTAGCATTTGTTTTTTTTCTTTTGGAGAGTTTCTTCTCCAATATTTATAAAAAAACCCATACTCTACTTGAACAATGTTTGTATCATGATATTTTCGACGGGGTTTAATTTCTAAAAAAGAAGCAGATTTAGTTCTGCGGAGAGGATGAATGATTTCAACAGGTTCTTTTGTTGCTGGGTCATTTGGTCGCAAATCAATAGATGATAAAGATCTATAAAGTATATTTGTTTTTTGTTTCAAATCGTTTTTTTTGACTTTTTTTAAACCAGAGTCTGTTTTTGCTTTAACTGGTGGGTAGCTTGATTTAAGCTTTGGAATCGAAGATTTGCGATTTTCTAGAAGTAAAAATGTTTTTTTGATAACATCTTGCATACTATATAACAAATATTATCGGTTACCGAAGATATATTTTATATTAAACTAGAAACCTCGAACAGATAAAAAGCACGAGAAAGAGAAAGAATCCTTTAACCTAGTTTGTCAAGCAAGAAATCAAGATCAATTTTTGAGTGCACAAGACCATCTCCCATTACTACTTGTATGATAATTTACCAAACATAATATTGATTTAAATAAAATAAATTTGCATATATAAGTTTAAAAATAAAATTTTTTTAAAATGATTTTATTAAGTTACCTGTTTTCGGCTTTCCGCGTTGTAATGTTACATCCAATTTGCTGTCGATAAGTTTTTCTTCATTATTTTGTGCCCACGTTACTGTTTTAGTTAACATGTTTGAATATTGACTTTCTTCATTATTTTCTAAAAAAGAATTTAATTAAGGAATTTTATATAAAACCCATATAAATGGAGAATTTAAATAAAAGCTAAGAATTTACAAAGCTATTTTCTAATGTAATTGAAAAATACTTTACCGGTCATTTCTTCGCCTTCTATTTCTCTTTCATAATCCATCTGCCATCGAATGTGTTTAGGCTTTTCACGTGGATTTTCTGAATCATCACTTTGTGAACTTTCACTATCGGAAAGGTTACCGTTTGATAATGCCGATGATAACTGATTTTCAGACCTGTTATACATATCAAAAAAATTTTCTGGGTCTTTAACTTTACTTAAAGCTTCTACTTGGCTATCGTTTAAACCTCTCCCCGTGCTTAAATCTTCAAGAGTTCCCAAAAATGCAACTATACAAGAAACACTTGCTCCACTGACACAAGCATCATTCTGCTTAGAGGAGTCATTTATGCTAGCCATTATTCTAAAAAAAAAGGTATCATGTATGCACATTTGTAACATTAACAAGGTACGTAGCTTGACCTAATAATTTAGTTGGGTTGGTATAATATAACTATGGAGGAATAGAACCAGGAAAGAAAGCAACCATTTTATAAAATTTTACCGTCTCTTTTGGGCGATTTAAGGATTTGTGCTAAAAATAATTTTTTTTTGACAAAAGTAGTACCTTTTGCTACATCTCCTATATAAATTCGTGTCTTGTGTATATTGGAAAGAAAAAGAAAAATATTAAATAAAAAATAAATGTTTAAGAATCTCTACATTTTAAAAAGCTCGTTGTCTAATTTTTGACTTTCGATTGAATAGTCCTCCGTTCTTTTTTGCGTCGGTCCGGCAAGATCAAATATTCGTTGAGGGTTTCCAACAATCTAAAAATGTATTTTTAAAGCTAAACTTAATATTATCTATATCTATATCTACCCTTTACAAGCCTTTGCACTGGTATGAATGTAGCTATTTGTATGTATACAAATGTGTTGAATTTTACCTCTTTCAAAACTTTGAGTGCTTCAATTCTAATTGATGGTTGAGTACATAAAGAAACTCGTGCAAACATTGGTTCAAGTGTGCGTCTAATTTTACTTAGTGTGCCTGCTAATCTGATGATATCAAATATTATTGCATAAACTAATTTTGGTATAACAGGGATCAAAAATCGGTTTAAAGTTCCTTGGGCTTTATTGTGATTAACTTCATCATTTAAGTTGCGTGGAGGTTCCAAATCATTCAAATTAACGAGATGATCAAGAGCTGGGCATATTGTCTGGCTAAAAGAAAAAGGAGAACTACTCAAATTTAATAATTAATTTTAATTTACCAAAAATTCTTTAATAATTTTAATAAGATAGTTTGAAACATCTTTATTAAATAATGTTTACTGACAAACTTTAATGTTTATTAAAAAATGTAATTTTATAAATACTTTTTTTAATAGTAACATAAAAAAAGCATGATGTAAAAATTATTAATTGAAATTAATCAATAATGTTTAATTATATTATTTACCATACTAAAGTGATAAAATCAGCATCTTGTTGAATAGATATAGAGAGATTTGCCAGAACTAATTGCATTGATTCCAAACACAGTGTAAGTGCTTGCTGGTGATAACTAACTCTATTCAATTTAAAAACAAAGTAATAATATTATCAATATTTTTAATAAAAACATAAAACGAATATGGTTTAATTATAATATAGCATTAAGAATATCTAAATTCTGCATATAAAAATGTAAAAATGAGTATGATATAAATTAACTGTAATCTGTAATGTAAATACAGATTACAGATTAAAGTTTTCAAATAAAAAAAGGGGGTAAATTTAAAATCTTTTAAAACATTTGGTAATGTTACATAAAAAATTAAATGTTACATAAAAAATTAAATGTTATATACATAATAGAAATGCGAAAATATAACTCACGTATTGCTTGGATTCAGCTTATAGCAGAAGTGCTTTAGCAATGTTACTACATCTTGACAATAAATTCTATTTCGATCACCCAAATTCAAATCTTTAAAATAAAATTTACAAAATTACAAAAAAATGGTGACTAATGTTATAAATATTAGTTGATTGGAGGGCGATACAAGCAATGTCTTTTATCGCTAAGTAACATCACTTATCGTTTTATCGATTTCTTTAATACCAACTCAAATGGAGTTAATAATTAACTGAGAATTACTCTTGGTATTGATTGTACAAACTTGTTAGTTTGTTTATTTATTTTACTAAAGTCATAAAATTTATTTATTACACATTTCTTTTTTTTTTTTTAACAAAACATAATTTTTTTTTTTGCAAAAAATTACTTAAAAGTTTACCTACTTTTTTTGACTTGTGAAATTCTTTGAAACTGAAAAATAGAAAAAAGAAAAAAGCTATTACACAACTTGAATAGTTGTTTATAACTATTATTTTTTTATAGAAAAGTTAAATATTTTATGGAAATTAACAAAACAAAACTTTTCTATTATTCAATTGCCTATCTAAATTCTAAAGCTGGTTTAGCGACGTTGACTAAGGGAGATTTGTTTGTTTCAATAATTTTAGAGAAAAATTGCCTATAAAAAAACTCATATTTATTGAACACCGTATTTCGTGTATGTGATCTTATATTTTTGAGTGTATAGTTGAAAGTCCCTCCCACATTCAGTTTGTTTAGTGGACGTCGCTATGGTTGAACATTTAAATATTTACCGTGCTTTCTTGGTATCTGTTACAAACGGAGCTCAGCATTTGGTTAAGAGTCGCTTTGCATGCAGTTTTTGTTGGAGTTTGATGAGCTCTTACATAAGTTTCCATGCACATCTATATGTATATATATCTATATTTTCATTGCGTTAATACAATTTAACATACTGCACAATTTGAATCCAAAATAAAATCATAATTTAATGCAGTATAAAATACAAATTATACACACCTCCGAAAACTTAATAAGTTGATCTCCGTGAATTTCACACGATTCCGAGCTTGTTATTAACATTAGCAGCTATTAGATAAATAAAGAAATTTCGTTGATGAACATCAGAATTACAACGTCCGAAAAAGTAAGACAAAAAAATGAACGCTTCAATTTATTAAAATGATTTGTAAAAATAAAGAGCTTATTTTATAATTTTTTTACCAACCTTCATTACTTCAACTTGCACTTCGTCAGAAAGCGAAGGGGTAGAAGCTACAGTGTTTAAAAATTGAATAGGAAAGCGAAGTTCTTCTATTTCGTTTAATAATTTGGAATGAAATCTTTCGTCTGATATGAGCCTCTAAAAAAAATTAATTTTTTTTTGGCAACAAAATAATTGTTGTGCATCGCGAAGCAAGATATTTGCTGAAACATGCACATGCATTACTGCAAGACGCATAACACAGTGCAAATATTCGTTGAAATAATTTATTTCTATATACCATAGTAGATTTTCTCTTAGTTTATTTATTATTTTAATACTTGCAATATTAAAAATATTTGCATGAAATTAAATTATAAAAAAAGTACTTGTAAACCGGTGACCGCCATTGTTGCCAGTTTTACAGACCGCGACTCTAAAGCAATTTTGAATGGCAAAAAGCAAGATTCTCTAGAACAATAATAAAACTATTTTTCAAAATAGTATTAAATAAAAAAGTAAACTTTAAAAAAAGAATTCGAAAATTGTATAGCTAACTAGACCATTAATAAAAAGTATATAATATAATCAAATATTAATGAGTAAACAAATTAATAAACTAATAAGAATATAAACACTTGTTTATTTTTTTTAAATTACCTTAATTGAGAAGATTCAACTTTTGAGTTAACGGCCAAGTCTTCCAATTGTACTGCAAAGTTTTAAAATAAAAAAAAAATAATAATCTATTTTTAGTTAGATTTGTGATAAAAGCAGCACTTACACAAAATACAAAAGCAATATGGGTTACCAAAATTAGCACTCATACAAAATACAAAAGCAACATGGGTTACCAAAAGTAGCGCTTATACAAAATACAATTGCAATATGGGTTACCAAGAGTGGCACTTATACAAAATACAAAAGCAATATGGGTTACCCAAAGCTTGAGTACAAGCATCTTGCAATCCAGTCAATCTTAAAACTTTTGCGTCTTGCGATAGTTCTGCCAAGATCTCTTCTATTTTTTTCCCGAATTCGTGCCCGTTGTTAACCATTCTGACGATTGTTAAATTTTTTAATTGATAAGCGAATTAATTTTAAAAAAGATAACCTCTGTTTGACTAATGTCCATTTTTTGTAGCCACAAAGTTACTACATTAAAATTTTTTAAAATCAAAACAACTTTGTAATTTTATAACAACCACCTGCTAATATATCCTTTATAAAATATAATAAACAAAGCACAAACGCGTTTTTCTGATTTTTTTTTGCTAATATTCGCCTCGTTTTACTCTCGGTATAAAACAATGCGCAAAACTAGCCGCTGTGAATTTTAAACAGTATTTGATCTCTCGACCATACTAAAAGGTTTCTACTATTTAAGTAAAACGCAAAAAATTATTGCGTGGATCAAATGATCAGTATGTGGTAGCAATGCTTTTTAAAGTCTAAACTAGATTATTTGGAAGAGAGACCCCCAGTAAACCTTTCAAAATATGATTTTCAAAATATTATAATAATAATCATAAAAATTATCCAAAATTCAGAGTATTCTATAAATAGTAGAATGTTTAAATGTTTAAAAATTTTTTACTAAAACAGCGACCGCAACTTGATTTGTTCGTTTTATAATAATTTGCAAATTTTCTGTGAAATTTCGGTTTTAATCAAAATTATGCTAAATTGTAAAACTTATTTTTTTTTATGCCAAAAACAAACATTTCAGAAAAACTATAAATACTTTATTTTATCATTTATAAATATTTTTAAAAAAATAAAAACCTTTTTGTTAAAATTTTTTTATTTTAATCTATTTTTATGTCAATTGTAATAATGATAATACATATAATTTAAAAGAAAAGGATTTAAGAGATGCATGCAGAAGCGTAGACAGAATTTTTTATGTTTCAGGTATGGCATTGAGCAAACTCCAAACGTTCGTATGTCAGTGCTTAAGTTAAATTGCTCTGCAAAAATTGCGTAGATTTGGAATCTGGGAACAAAAAGTTTGCCCCTCTACCCCGAATATGAGAGCATTAAGTAAATAAATAAAAACTTTTTAGGATAATATATAAAACTTAAAATTCATTGTCATGTTTTTAGTTTCATTCAACAATATTTTGGTATTTTAATATGTTAATAACATTGTTATGAAAATTTAAAAATTCTCATTCTGGCAAGAAAATTTCAATAGCCATATTTTTTGAATAAAGATTATAAAATGCTTAAAACCTTTTGATAAATTTCAGTTCAGCATAATATGCTAAAGAATTTATTTTATTAACTTATTGTCTTCATATTCGGGGTAGAGGAAACGAACTTTTTGGGGTATTTTTGTTTTAAAGCTCCAATTACCGAAATATTTTGCAATGCAAAATACTGCGGTAAATACTGCAAAATATTGCAAAGCAAAATGTTTTCTCATTTGACATTAGCATAAACATAATTCGCTGGGCCAACATCTAAACAACGTGGGGCCAACGTTGTTCCATGGTTAGCCCTACGTGTTGTGCTAGCTGGGCACCCATTAGCAATTACTCTAATTATTGTATACTTTTTTTAAGCGTCAAAAATTAAACTTATGCATATAAAATCAAATTAATCATATTAAGAAAAACTAATTGGTATTTTAAGAAAAAGCTATATTTACAGTTTCGTTTCCAACCATATTAAAACTTTTTTTTTTGTTAAGATAGTTCTTTTAGAAAATCTTTTTTTAACCTTTCATTAAACTTTTTTGATTCTTGAGATTTAATACTCTAAAACTAAATTTTTTATCATTAAAAAAAAAAAAAAAATGACAATGCTGTTCTTTAATGCAATATTTACCTAAAAAATTATGCGATATTGATATACCTTTTAAATTTAATAGCTAAGAACAACCTTAAAATTTTTTTTTCAATATAGCTCAAATATTTCTTGTCAATAAGTTAAAAACAAGGAGGTTTGGTAAACCTCCTTGGTTAAAAACATGTACCAAATTTATCAAAATATCTTTTTCCTATATTTAACAAACAACCTTTTTGTAACGGCAATAGTTTTTAATTTATAAATGAGCTTTTTTTTTTAGTTTTAGGGTCATAATTTCATAAAAGAATTTTATGAAATTATGACCCTAATTGAATCTTAATTTTTCTAAACGACTTAGGTATGTATTAACTGAACAGTGAAAACTTAAAAGCTATAACATATAATTGTTTTTGAAATATGTACTTTGAAGTTGAGATAAAACTCAGAAAAACACATATGTAAGAAAAATGCGAAAACAAAACAAATATTCGTAAAAAACAAGATTTAAAGTATAATATCAACAAAATCATTAACTTCCGTTTCATTGTGAATGTCTATAAATCCATTCTTAATATTCCTAACTGGAACCTCTCGCTTTTTACCAGCATGTGATGATTTTTTTGCGACATTCGAATAGTTATTTTACCTTTATGAGCTAAACCATACTTAACTTTTTTTTGGCTGTATGTCGACCTCTCTAACCACGGCACTAACACCGGTTGAGAATAAACAACAAAGTATAATATCCATTAATGTAAGAACAATATATGTTACAATATAAGAACAATATAGTTACAGTACACAATAATACTGGGTAAATTGCCAGTATTATGAACTACTATTTAATGATGATAAAAACGGAAAAATATCAAAATTGTTGCAGCAACAATAAACATCCAAACGAGTTTTTAAAATATTTTTAAAGTTTTTTTTTTTTTCTGGCTACGTATCTATTTAACCAAGTTGTTGCAAACTCGGGTAATTTTCTCCTAATTACAATTACAGTAAATATTTTTCAATAAAAAAAAAGAGTGCAACGTTAAGGTATACAGTGTTATAATATATTAAATTATTTACAATAACATGTTTATCAAATACCAAAATTCTCGGTGGGGACAACTTTACGAAGAAGATTTTCGTTAGCAATAATATATTTATAAAACTGTTCAATGGTAAGATTCTTTAAATTATACTTTGTGAGAACGATGCCCTTTATAGAGTCAACTAAATGTCTGTTCCGTTCCTTTATACATTGAGCATTAATCAACGAGAACACTCTTTACAGAAGAATGCTTCACAAACTTTAACTATCTCTGAGAAGCAACTCGTCTTTGGACAAGTTTTAAAAAATAAAACCCACTGTCCATGCGGGGGTATCTCAAAAAAACTGTTTATTTTTGCCTTGCACAAATGGTTAAGATTACAGTATTGGTCAAACAATTGTACATCATCGTTTTCCTTTGCCTTTATTTGTAAATTTTCGTTTTCCATTGCCTTTATTTGTAAAGTTCTTTCCACCAAGTATATTACAATACTTTATATAGTAATACTTTATCCGTGGAGCTATTATAGAAGCTTTTCTTGAAGTTGTTTTTTTGATGTTGTTAAGGAAACATAATTTTTCAAGATACATGTAAAATTTAAATAACCAGCTGTTTAATATTAACATTTTATTTTAACATAAAGTTTTTTTAAATTTTAGTATCCAGCATTAAAAAGCAACAACTTCTAAACAAGAAACAGTTGTTCAAAAATGAAATTTTTTATAGGAACCACCTTATTATAGAAACAGCGATATTGCCTCGTCTTCCCCTGCAGTATGATGGTTTTTCTTTTACAATAGCAAAACAACAAAAGATGAAGAAAATAACAAAAAATAAATAAAAAAAAAAACAAGGAAAAATAACGAAAGAAATTTTAATTTTATGAAGCTTAAAATAAAAGAAAACTTTTGAGACTATGAAAAAGTGGTGTTGTGGTTAGAATAGCCGTGGTGTAATGGTTAGAAATTTGGCTTCAGAACTGAATGTCCGTGGTTTGAAGCTGGCTCTGGCCATATATGCATTATTGGTATGGGAGGAAGCGTAAACTTCCTAGTTAAATGTTATTCCACGGAGCTCTGAGATAAAATCGTTACTTTAGAGTACCTAAATAAAAATAAAAAATAAAAATAAAAAAAAAGCAAACTTTTCTAATTACAGTTATATTTTTTTAGGATGTCATGCTTTTAACAATTCGAGTGTTTCCTAACTTTATACTGTAAATTTATTTTATTTTAAGCTAATGTCTACAGTTAAATGCATAAAATATAACAATAAAATATATATCCTACTAATACTGATGTGCTAAACTTTTTTTTTTTTTTTTTTTTTTTTTTTTCAGTTTACAATTATTAATCGTAATATAACAATATAACAATATATAAACTTGGTATCTGAAAGAAGATCCAAATGATCTTGTCGCCAGAACCATATAAAATATATCATACGTGTATATATAATAAAATAAAAATACAATTGATCAAATAACTATTAACAATGTAGAAGAAACAAAAACTGAAAATAATTTTACAAATTATCAAGAGTGAAAAAAAGAATTTTACATTTCAAAAATATTTATATATATTGCCAGTAGAAAGAATATATTTTTTTAATTTAGTTTTAAAAACGGAAAACGAAATTGACAAATCAAAATTTGGAACAACAATTTTGTTCCATAAATACGGTGCTCTATAGTTTATGCAAAATTGATTAAACTTTGTTTGACAAAAGGGTTCAATTAATAAATTATTATTTCGTAAAGCATATTTGTTTATAGCTTTATAAGTAAAAAGATCTTTAAAATTGGACAATGGTCGTTCACTTTTACAACGAAACATAAAACATAAAATATTATAGACATTGAGTTCGTAAACGTTAAGTGCTTTAACGTTTTTAAATAAAATATTTGAATGAGAAAAACGATTTTCGAAACATATTAAACGCATTGCGTGTTTCTGACGGTAAAGATTTCGTAACTTACTTTTAGAGGTACTTCCCCAAACAATATTTGCATAATTTATATAGCTATGAATAAATGAGTAGTAGTGAGTTAAATTTTGTTTACTTAGATAGTATCTGACCTTATATAGAATTCCAATACTTTTAGCCAATTTAGTAGAAATATAGTCGATATGATACTTCCATGTAACATTTTCATCAATGTAAATGCCTAAAAAACTTGTGACCGACTCCTTTTTTATTTCAATTTTATAAATAAACTAACTGCATAAGTACCATACAATTTTTTAATATAACTTTTTCTCTTACATAATTAGTTCAAAGTAATAATAATAACTATATTAGAAAACAAGTTATGGTCTACTTAAAGAACAGGGCCTGATATTTCAAAATTTTGCCACACACAGAAATGTTTGAACTGTATTATACCTCAAACATTTTGTTCTTATAAATTTAATATAGTTTTCTACATAGATTTTAGAAGATAAGCACAGTATCTA